AGCGCGCAGTTGACTTCATAAAACTAATTGCAAGCAAATGGAAAAGCATAAATTCGCCTTATAGCCAAAGGCCGGTACAAAAAAAAATATTAACCAAAGGCAAAAGCGCAAAAGCCACAAAGGAACTGCGGTGAAATGTAGTTGTTGTTATATTGGCCGTTATGTACAACGCACATAATTGTTGTTGTAGTTCATTAACGTCAACACCGCCACGCTCAAGTCGTTTTTCTGCTGTATTTTGTTGGCCTTTTGGCTGGGCAAAAACATTTTTGAAATAAGACGCAGCGGAACCAAAATGTTTTGGTATTTGTAAGGCGACTTTTGGATTTCCTACGGGTATGACTTAATAACTAATATTTTCATTTACATTTATTCATATATTAACGATGTACACAATGCTTTTTGACTTTAAGTAACTAAAGTATTTTAATAAAAACATTTTCAAAATTATTTAAATCAAATAAGTTTAAAACAAAAACGGTGTTTATTATGTTTTAATTGGATAGCTGTATCGAGCCTTCACTGTATAACTAAATTACATAAATTCCCTTCAGAAACGAACCAGTTAACGGATCTTTCGCAGTGTAGGGTCAAAAACAGCGGGCGTGAAATGAAATTTGGCAACCGTCAAGAGAGAAAGAGAGATCACCAAATCGAGAGGCAATATCGAATCGTGGGCGAATCTGTTGCACAGAAAAAAATGTTATATACATACTTTAAAAATCAAATTGAAACTAACAATTATTTATCAACTGGAATTGTATTAAAAAAATTTGATCTTATATATAAATTAGATTAAAACTATTGATATCTAATCCAAAACTATATGTAAAGATCTTGAAATAAATAAATGACAATTTTTTTCTGTGTACATGCGCCGCCGCCGGCGTCCCATAAAAAGTTGTTGTTTATGCTTTTTGGCCAACTGCGGCGGCCAATTTTCGCCCGCAAGATTTTCGCATTAAAAATGGATCGAAAAAAATATGGGAAATGATCGCGCGGCGCAGCTGCAAATGCTTAATATTCTTGTTCGGATCTGAGCGAGGGAGTTCATCGCTTCGTCTCTTTTGTTTGTTGCTTTTTTGTCGTAAATTTCTTATGTGATTTATTGCCAGCAGTGGGTGCGAAAGAGAAAGCCAGTCGATCAACTGGTTAACGCACAAAACTCAAATCACAACGTATGCTGGCAATTAATTATTAAGTCTCATAATCACCATTCATAAATTATACAAACATACAAGGCATTCCTATAAGAACACTTTCGCTTTCCTCATGGGAGACAGAAAGAGAAACGAAGAAGAAAAAAAAAATGAGAGAGAAAAATTATGTAATTCCCGCGTTTGAGCTACTTAAATAATAATAACAGTTAATGCCAAAAAACGTAGAAAAAAAGTGTAACAGGAACCCACACATGGCTAGTTTTCTGATTGGGAGGTGCGGCCTCCACATATACGCACTTACCTTTCGTTGTTGTTTTAGTTGTATTTTCGTTTGTTTGCCTTCGCTCTCTGTCGCTCTCTTTTGTTGTTGGTGCTGCTTCTTCCTCAATTGGTTCATTCATACAATAGATCCCAAATGTTTCCATTTTACCTTTATACAGCCATCAGGATTGCATTTATTTGACCCAAGCCAAATCCTTGGCTTTGTTCCCTCACAAATAAGCTCAAAACACACACATGTGTTAATAGTGGCTAATTAACAACAACAACTCGCGACTTTTATTATGATTTCACATTTCTTTCACTTTAAGTGCAACCGGCGTTGTTAGAGCAAGATGCAATACACTAGACGCGAGGGGGAAAGCAAGAAGAAGACGCCCACGCCGCGAAGCAATCGAAATCGTTAAGTATAGTATTTACTGCATGCACTTTAGCGGAGCTTGACTATTTTTCGCGACGTTCCAATTGGAAATGTTCGCAGCCCAACACAAAAACAGCTCGTATTTCGCTCTCTCTCTCCTTTACATTTCTGTTAAAAAAACATAATTTTCCTTACATTTCTGTTATTGAGTACCAGCCAAACAACACAAACAGCTGATTAAGCAGGGTGGCACAAGCGAGAGTTGCCACATCGCTGCGTTACCATATAGTTAAAACATTTGAGTTTAACGAAAAATTTTAAAATATATATGTATTATATATATATATGGCCGATGACAATACCACGAACTAAAGTTAAAGCTGTTTTTTTTTAATTGTTTATCACATTTTTTTAGATTGTCTTCCGGTATATCGGAAGCGCGGGAAGAAGTGAAAAGTTGTTCAAAAACTTTACTCGCGTTAAAACTTTTTTACCATTCTTTGCCTCTTGTCAACAAAATTGGCTAAAGTCAACAATAGAAACAAAAATACTTCTTACAAGTCATTAAGTGACTATGGAAATAACTTACCTTGTGTGTACACACCAAATATTAAAATATAGGAAACATACTTTCTATCGATAACCGCAGCTTGTGATATTTTGAGCACCCTTTTCAAAAACTCGGTTAAATCGTAAAACCATACCAAAAATAACCCTTAAATGAAAATACAACCAAAATGCTTATATCTCTTTTAATGGGAAATCCGTGCGAATGGAATAATAATAAAGCTGGAATCGGCCAACTTACAACATAAACTTATTGTTCTTCTCGGACAAATGCTTCGAGGAGCGCTTGGCGTCGAGGAAGAGCGAGTGCACGTCCTCGATGTCGTCCTTGCTGATCTGGCTGCGTCCGTTCACCTTGCACATCTGGTGGGCCGGGGTCAGCAGCTGGACGGCGTAGCGCAGCGTGGAGCTGGTTCCGATCTCGCTGAGGCGACCGAAGGCGTTCTCCTCCAGCTGCAGGCCCTCGGTCTGGGCGCGCAGCTTGATGATCTGCTCCATGTCGGCGGTGGAGTAGAGCAGTGTGCGGATGATCAGCAGGCGATCCAGCAGATCCAGCGGAATGCCGTGCGGCGAGACGATGTCGGTGGTTCCTCTGCAAGAGGGGATATATTGAATAAAGCTGTTTGCTAGTTTCCATCGCGTGGTTTTGTCGATAAATGCATTAGTGTTGCCATAACTCTAAAAATTTTGTTTACTATTAATAATAAATTAGTTTACCCTAATATTGACTATTATGATCTTTGGCATTGGATATTTTCATAAATAATTAAGACGGAGGAGGTATAATTAAACTATTTTAAAATGAGGTGCCTAAGCCATTTAAAAATCCACCATATAATCCACTGAATCAGTACGTTGTTAGTAAGAATAAGACAAGTACCTTACATAGCCTAACAACTCCTCCAACATTTCTTACCGGATCACACAGCGACCGCGATTGGTGGCAAAGATCACAATTGGGGCAATTGGAGATTCGAGCGACTTGTGTAGATATGTGAATGTCTCCAGATCGAGCATGTGGATCTCGTCGATGAAAAGGACTCCGGGAACCAGCTCGGCTATACCCTGGTCAATATACTTGTTCACCACCTTGTTGATCTCCAAGCGTAGTTTGTCTGTTTATCGTAATATGCATCGTTTACTCCATTGAAAGTTAAGGAAATTTTGCGGCTCACCTGTAATTTCAGTTTTCTTGGGCTTCATGAGCTGGCCCATCATAGAAAGCACATCCTGGCCGCCTTGCGGACGAGCATTGGCCACATCCAAATCGTGCAGGGTGACATCCTGGATAACCTCCTTCTTCTTGTGGACATCGCCCTTAGGTAGCGGAACATACTCCTCGGTCTCCAGGTCGAATTCGGTGGCAAAGGTGTCGCTGCGTCCCTGGCGCTTCACTGCTCCACTGTTGGCCTCTATGTAGATGACATCGCCCACCTCCACCTTCTCCTTCTGCAAGGCATCAAAGATGCTGGGATCAAGCTTGAGTTGCTTGGTGCCCTTGGCCGTCTTCAGGCCGATGACCACGTTGCTGATGGTCTTGCCATAGCCGCCCATGGGGTTCTCCGTTTCCACGGGAGTGAGCTCAGTGACCTCGCCCTCGTACACCTCCTTGGTCTCGCGGATGCGCAGGCCAATGGAGCGCCGAAAGTTCTCCATCAGCACCTCGGTCTTCTTGATCTCGTTGCTGAAGACCTCCGAGCCGACCATTGGGCAGAAGGGCACCTTGTTGCCCAGCTCCTGGGCGATGGCCAGTGCAATTGCAGTCTTCCCAGTGCCAGGAGGACCGGCCAGGAGCAGGGCTCTGCCGGCCATCTTCTTCGACTTGATCAGATCCACCACGATGCCGGCTGCCTCGCGGGCGGCCTTCTGACCCACCAAACCGGCTGCACTGTGCACCGCAGCACCAGTCTCGTCCAGACCCAATCCCTTCACGTGGCTGTGGGCCGCAATGCGCTGTGTGCGCACAGTGCTCTTGACTTCCTCGATCTTCATGGCGTCTCTGAGTTGGAGTCCTTGCTAGTGGTTCCTTTACCCTGTTTCCGGTTGCAGCTGCTCTTCGCCCGCGGGGGATGTGAACACAAGCGTTGTATCGATTAAACGAGCTGTCCTGTTGCCTGGACGAAATTTGTTTTTTGCCGGCAGATGCGAATTGGAAAATAGAAGCACACTTTGATTCGATAGGCGCGTGGCACGGTCACACTGCTGGAATTCCAATATGTGTCTATCGATACACTCCACTGGCCAGCAAAGAAAGGTTCTGAAACAATAAGTACAATTATTTCAGTGCTTTGAGCAAAATTAAATGAATAATTATTTATTTATAGGTAGAGAGAAATTGCCTTTATTAACGAAACCTAGGATGCTGTAAAATTTTCATTTTAAACACAACAAAAAAAACATATTTAAATTTTTCTTGTAGCAACTTATCTTTTAGATTAAAAATTGATAAAACACACATTTAATTAAAAATAAAACCATATAAATAATATATTCTTAATTTTGTTTTAAAATTTAAGTTAATATATTCCATATATTCAGAGAAACGACAGAAATATTTTTTATTAATTATTTTTAGTGCTGAGTGTAATTCCGTTGCGCTGTAGTGTATTTTACAGCTTGGAGGATATGGTCATACCATAAAAAACAAAATCTCGTTGGAATTCTTGCCTTGCCGCAAGAAAACATAAACAAATCAATATTTAATAGATTTATTGAAGACTGTTAAAGAAAATCTAAATTATACTCAACCATGAGCTGCAATTACGCAGATGGACTGTCGGCCTACGACGACAAGGGAATTCTGGGTGCTCCAGAGAGTTTCGACAGCGATGAAGTTGTGGCCGAAAAGTGCCAAGAACTTGCTGATTTAATCAAAAGATCCGGACACGTTGTCCTCCACACAGGTGCTGGCATCAGTACATCCGCAGGGATTCCGGATTTCCGGGGTCCCAAGGGAGTTTGGACTCTGGAGGAGAAGGGCGAGAAGCCCGACTTCAATGTCTCCTTTGATGAGGCCAGGCCCACAAAAACCCACATGGCCATTATATCCCTTATCGATAGTGGCTATGTGCAGTATGTTGTCTCCCAGAACATAGACGGATTGCATCTGAAATCCGGACTGGATAGGAAATATCTCTCCGAGCTGCACGGCAACATTTACATCGAACAGTGCAAGAAATGCAGACGTCAATTTGTCAGCTCTTCTGCTGTGGAAACAGTTGGTCAAAAATCACTGAAACGCCCCTGCAAATCATCAATGGATAGTAAAGGACGCAGCTGCAGATCGGGTATCCTATACGATAACGTTCTGGACTGGGAACACGATCTTCCCGAGAAGGACCTGGAAATGGGTGTGATGCATTCCACCATCGCCGATTTGAATATAGCTCTGGGAACCACTCTGCAAATAGTGCCCAGCGGTGATCTTCCTCTGAAAAACCTCAAACGCGGTGGTAAACTTGTCATTTGTAATCTACAACCTACAAAACACAACAAAAGGGCGAATTTAATCATATCCAGCTATGTGGATGTGGTTTTGTCCAAAGTTTGCAAATTGTTGGGTGTCGAGATCCCCGAATACTCGGAATCCTCTGATCCTACAAAGCAGTCTAACCCAACTGAGTGGACTATACCAACAAACAATGTAAATTCCTTTCACAAAAAGTATAGAACCCATGTAAAAGAGTCGAAAATTGAATCTAAAGCCAAGAAAACTAAATATAAGTAAATCTTTAAATTTATAAATAGGTATATTCTTGAAATGTATTTAACTTTGTTCTCAAATCTTAGTACTGACTCGAAATGTAAGACCTTTTACAATTTTTTATTCTATGTAAATAATTTATAATTTATAATATGTAGATATGAAAGAAACTTATCTATATTGAATAGTTATATTTTAAAACCCCATACTTTTTTTGTTAGCTCACTGCCTCGTTTGGTAAATAAGTTAAACGTTTTAAAAGAATGGCAAACGTGTTCTTTTAAAACGAACAAATTAAAATAAACGCCCAGGAAAAGACGTATTAATATTAAACATAATATTTTTAGTTTTATTAAAAAAGTTTGGGTCAACAATCAAGGTTTGTTTTAGAGCTAAAGCGCCTTATAAATCAGGCAATATGGGCGGACAGGTGCAAACGAGATGCTTGTCGCCATAAGCATCATCAATCCTGCCCACAGTGGGCCAAATCTTGGCATCTGGCTTAACAAAGATCTGTTAAAAATAAGTAATTGAGTTATGAGAATCAACTAATGACAAATTTATAGACTTACAGCTGGGAAGGCAGCTTGCTCCCGAGTGTAAGGTCGATCCCACTTATCCGAGATGACTTGAGCTTGGGTGTGGGGTGACATCTTCAGGGGATTCACTGCCTTGTCCATGCGACCAGCCTCAATCTCGGCTATCTCTTCACGAATGGAAATCATTGCATCGCAGAACCTATCCAATTCTTCCTTGTCCTCAGATTCAGTGGGCTCGATCATCAGAGTTCCAGCCACGGGCCAAGACATCGTTGGGGCATGGAAGCCATAGTCCATCAGTCGCTTGGCCACATCCACTGCCTCGATATTGGCCGTCTTCTTCAGGTCGCGTATGTCCAAAATAAACTCATGGGCCACCAGCTGCGAGTTGGGTGCCTTGTAGAGCGTCTTGTAGTGCTGCTCCAGCCGCTTGGACATGTAGTTCGCATTGAGGATGGCCACCTGGGTGGCTCTCTTCAGTCCTCGACTGCCCATGAGCTTGATATAAGACCACGAAATGGGTAGGATGGCTGAGCTGCCGAAGGGTGCTGCTGAAACCACTCCAAAACTGTGCTCCTCACTGCTCAACGGACTGACCACAGGATGTCCTGGCAGGTAAGGCGCCAAATGGGCCTTTACGCCAATGGGACCCATTCCCGGACCACCTCCACCGTGCGGGATGCAGAAGGTCTTGTGCAGGTTGAGATGCGAAACATCACTGCCATAGTCTCCTGGCCGGCACAAGCCCACCTGCGCATTCATGTTCGCTCCATCCAGGTACACCTGACCGCCATGCTTGTGGATCAAGGTGCAAATGTCCGCCACCGTTTCCTCGAACACCCCCATGGTGGATGGATATGTGATCATCAGGCAGGACAGCTCATGGGCATGCTCCTCCGCCTTGGCTCTCAAATGGGCCATGTCGATGGAGCCATTCGATAATATCCTAATGGGTTCCACCTTCATTCCTGCCATCTGGGCAGAGGCTGGATTTGTGCCATGCGCCGAAATTGGAATCAGGCAGATATTTCTGTGACCTTCATTGCGGTGCTCATGGTAACTCCTGATGGCTCTCAATCCGGCGTACTCTCCCTGTGCCCCCGAGTTCGGCTGGAAAGAGATTCTGTCGTATCCCGTAATCTCACACAGATCATGCTCCAGTTCGCTGAACATCTGATGGAATCCCTGGGCTTGTTCTACGGGCGCGAAGGGGTGGATATCGGTAAAGTGGCGGAAGGAGCAGGGCATCATCTCGGTTGTGGCGTTGAGCTTCATGGTGCAGGATCCCAGTGGGATCATCGAGTGCACCAGTGAGATGTCCTTGTTCTCCAGCTTCTTCATGTAGCGCACCATGCGGGATTCGCTGTGGAGGAGGAGGTCAGTATGTAGTTTTCTAAGTTATATATTTTCTGATTTATAAATCTCACCTGTGGTAGCTCTGGAAAATGGGATGCTGTAGATAGGGGGATGTACGCAGGAATTTTGAGTTCTCGATGGAGTTCTTGAGCACATCGCGTCGCGCCAGGATGTGTTCCACAGTGGCCTCCGCCTTGAAAACCCACAGCAGATCGTCCACATCCGCCACACTGACCGTTTCATCCAAGGCCACGCCCACAGTGCCATCGTTCAAGTAGCGGAGATTAATGCGTTTGTGCTCGGCACGCTCTTTAAGATCCTCCAGTGATTGATTGTCGGCCACTTTGATGTGCAGCGTGTCAAAGAAGTTCTTGTTGATCACTTCGTGACCCGCTCCCAGGAGTCCAGTTTGCAGGGTCAGCGTGAAGTGGTGGATGCGATTGGCCATGGCCTTTAGACCCTCCGGCCCATGGTAAATGGCGTACATGGCCGACATGTTGGCCAGCAGGGCCTGGGCCGTGCAAATGTTGCTCGTAGCCTTGTCCCTGCGGATGTGCTGCTCTCTGGTTTGCAGGGCCAGGCGATAGGCATCGTTTCCATCCATGTCCCGGGTGACGCCAATCATCCGTCCGGGCATCAATCGCACCAAGCTTTGCTTGCAGGCAAAAAAGCCCGCATGGGGACCTCCATAGCCCAGGGGGACTCCCAAACGCTGGGAGGTACCCACGGCAATGTCCGCTCCGAATTCCGCCGGAGGACGGAGCAGGGTCAACGACAGAAGATCGGTGGCCACCACCACGAGGGTCTAAGGGGGCAAACATGATAAGTATACTATTCCACATCGTTAAAAGTATCTAATCTTAAATTACTAGTCTAAACAACCTACACCATTCTTCTTTGCCAAGGCTGCGATATCCTCAAAGTCCTTGACATCACCATAGGTATCCGGGTATTGCAGAAGAATGCCGGCCAACTCGCGACTGGGCAGATCGGCCTGTTCAATGGGTCCCACCACGATCTCCAGTTCCAAGGCCTCGGCTCTTGTCTTAACCACCGACAAAGTCTGCGGATGCACCCTGTTCGAGAGGTACAACTTCTTCCTCTTGTTGTGCCTCGTGGCCAGGCACATGGCCTCCGCTGCAGCGGTTCCCTCGTCCAAGAGCGAAGCATTGGCCACATCCAAGCCGGTAAGATCGGTTACCAAAGTCTGATAGTTCAGCAGCGATTCCAAGCGACCCTGGGCGATTTCCGGCTGGTAGGGGGTGTACTGCGTGGTCCATCCCGGATTCTCGAACATATTGCGGACAATCGTGTGCGGCACATGGCAGTTGTGGTAGCCCATTCCGATGTAGGAGCGCCACAGCTGGTTCTTCAGCGAGATGTCGCGGATGCGGCGGATTAGCTCATGCTCATCTACGGGACGTAGTGGAAAATTGTTGTCAGCCAGACGACGGAGGCAGTCAAAACAGAGATAAGTCACAGAGACCCCGCTGAACCGGGCTTATCACGGCCTTATCAGCGTCTGCGAACACGCCAGGGGGTCCATTGCCTTAGCGCCCATTTTTCAGCTATTTTGGGATTACAAAACAGCCCTACTTACTCAGGGGTTTGGCCAGGTCGAGTTCCCTCTTCAGTTGAATGCTCTGGGGCACGGCTTTTTCAGTAAGTTCAGCCAGGGACTAAACAAAGATGGGATAGTGATACTTGTAGTTAGCTTACTTCAATAAAGATCGATTTTTAAGAAGAAATTGCCAATGGGATATATTTAAATACATTTTCCTTGTAATTTTAATTCATCAATTTAAGTCATTCTTTTTTAGCTAAATGCTGGGTTAAAGGTCACACAAACCAGACGTCAAAGGATCTTCATATGTACCTTAAAACCCAATGTATCCAGCATGGCTACCACATCCGTCTTGCGAGGTCCTATATGACGGCTCGGAAAATCCGATTTGGTGGGAAATAAAACCTCCTCCACAGGAGTGGTGGCCAAATAGCGATGACCACATCTCAGCAGCAGGCTCCGACTGTTCCTTCCCAAAAATCGTTGCATGGTTAAACGAGGTTACTAAGGCACGACCACACCACGCGGATTTCAATCAATGACTGATTTCAGACTGGAAATATTTTCCCATTTCAGATGATAAGGCGGGCCCCGATCATCTCAGCTTATCAGTTGCTCTCTTCGAAAGATGAAAATTGTTAACCCCCATAAATACTCAAAAAGCGATTTTTAATATTTTCGTTTTATTTCAAAACTTAAAACTCTTCAACAATTTGTAATAAAAATATTTTCAATATTATTATTTTTACCAATTCGTTAGCTTGTGGTTTTCTTAGAGAAACTTCAAACAATAACAAAAATGGTTTACAAAATTGTCTCAATAACAATAATAGCATCATCTTAACAAAATTGGGGAACACAATTCAAGGGAAGAATAATCAATATTAAATTTATGCGTATATAAACTGAAGCCGTTGTCGTCTTTTGCCTACTTAACAATTGCATTTGGTTATGTCTTGGGATCTTGCCGATTTCGAATCGAATACTTGTCATAAAATTTTCCTAATCGTTTTGATTAACTTTCGGCTCCGCTGCCGCGATTGATATTTGTTTTTATAGCCATTTGCATTATTTGGGTTTACTTGCTTATTCAAAATCGTTATCGTGCCTTTTCCGTAATTGAAATTCAACAACTGCAATCGGTACGTAATTAAATACAATATATATCGTTCAATTGGTATAGGTACATATATGGCTGCGTGTATATCTAACAATGTTGGTAAACTAATTTACGGCTCGTTTCAGTCGGTAAACGTAATTTGATTAATCATTTTGCTTTAGCATCCTCGACTAACTCGGCCCACAAATGCACTGAGAGTTTAACACCATTTTAAAGTGTGTGTATTTTTCTGGATACTGTGTAAATTGTTTAGTTAATATTAAGGAAAAGTTTAAGTTTAATTGAGTGTGGTGTCTAAAGGAATTAGAGCTAAACTTTGGTTAACACTGAAAAAGGATCGAATAATATTTGCCCTCTTCACATTTGGTTACAGTTTCGATAGATATACTCTTTGTATATATGTAGATATATATTTTGTATAAAAATCTTTGCTAAGTTATGATCAGTTGAGTTGCTGGTGCTGTCAATGTAGATGAGGTAAGTTGCAAGAAGCCAAAATGGTTTGGTGCAAGAGTGGCTTGAAGAGTAAATATCCGATTTGCAAGGTTTGTATATATTTATAGAGATATATGTTATATATGTAGTTGGGTTTATTTTTGCCTAAAACTGTTTATAATATTTACTATATTTATATTGCTTTGCGAGAGTTAAGTTTACTGAGATAAAAATCGATCCAAAACCAGGACAACAATTTTAATTAATACAGTACAAGTCAAAAAAGCAGAACATTCAATAATTATTTATTTCTTATTTGTAAGAATTACTGAACTTAAGGGTTAATAAGAAAACCAAGTTATATTTTGTTATATTCTGGCTAGAAAATATATTTTATAATATTATTGTTTAAAGACTGATTTTTCCCTCAGTATAAAAATTTTTGAGCTTAATTTGTTCGAGTTCTGTATCGAATAAATTTTGAATGGGGGCTTCAAATGTGTATGGACAACCTTCGGTTAACGATTGATGTGACTCCCGGTACATGTCTATTGTTTGTTCTGCTCCTTGTCGAAGTTGGAGGTGAAAGTTCTGTTAAACTGAAAGGGAAGCAGGGGGGAGGCACTTGAACCACCCAGGGAACTGCCGCCAAGTGGTTCCCTCAGAGTGAACGACATCATGGGATTGTAGACCCCGGTGGAATGGGTGAGGGAACTGGTACTCACTACGCTCGCCGAGCAAGTGGTAGTGGGTTCGCTGAAGCGAGAGGTGAAGGAGCTGCTGAAATTGTACGGCACGTACGAAGAAGTGGTTTTGGTGGTGGTGGTTATGGATGTGGCGGTGCCTGTGACTGTGGTCGTGGAGCGAAGGTCTAAGCAACTGGCCCTGGGCGTAATGGAGGAGGTGCCCAGATAGGAGTAGTTGTTGCCCGAGGGCAGCGAAGAGGAGGGGCCCGCATAGCTGCTGGACATGAATGAGGAGGTGCTCGAAGCGGTGGTGCTGGATGTGGCTGGAGTGGTGGTGCCCAAGTCTCCGTAGCTTTTGGCCGGCACCGAGGGCGAAACCACTGGCGAGCGGCTGGGCGGGCGGGAGTGGGTCTGCCGCTCGATCTGTTTCTCGGTGAGGAACCGATCGTAGAAGGTCGAGGTCACGGTGGTGTGGCGGATCTCCAGCTTGCCGGGCTGGTAGAGGGGTGTGCCGCCGGCACCACCGGGGGATCTGTGGTGGTGGGGATCGTACGGCTGGCGGTAGGGCGACACGGGCCGGGGGAAACTATCGACTGCACTGGTGCCCGAGCCAGAGCCCGAGCTCGATCCCGTTGTGGTGGCTTGGATCTGGACTGGATCTGTGTGGTGGAGGCGTGTGGCTGTGGTGCGGGACTCATACGGGTGGCTCAGCGGTGTGCGACAGGCCGAGCGTCGGGCATCGTCCGCGTACTTGGCGCACGTCTCTTCTAGTTGTCTATCTACTTTGTGGTTAAACCCGGTTAAACTATTCCCGCTACTTAGTTCGCTACGATTATCAGCAAAATAATTTGGCAACAAGTTATCACGTCTTACCCTACTGCTCTCCCGATCCTTACGCTCCTCGTCCTCCTCCTCCAGACGCCTCCTCCGCTGCGGGGAAAGCTCCCTGCTCACCTCCCTGTGTGATCGGTGGTGCAGGGGACTCGTATCCCTGTCCCTAGTGCCCAGTGGACTCCTTCGCGACTCCGCCGACCCCAAGGACCGATGCTCTGAGGTGATCCTAATGGAGGGAGCATAGTCCCCAGATCGGTGAATACTTCTTCCCCTGCTCTCGCTGCGACTCAGACTCCTGCTCAGGCTGAGATCCTCCATGGAGCTCTTCTTGCTGGCGAAGTGCAGCGAGTCCGAGAAGAGCGAGTCGATGTACCGCTGGCACTTCTCCTTCTGGTAGGGCTTCTCCTCGCACAAGCTGTCGATCGATTTGATCGAGTTCTTGATGGAACTCAGGCGATCGTTGATGTTCTCCCCCGTTCGCAGCGGTACGCCCGTATGGGTCCCAGTTCGGGTGATCGGGGAGGTCTCCTGGGAGGCATAAAATACATAAAGATTAAGTTGTATTGAGACTATTAAAAAAGGTACACTACTATAAAATGCATTTTCAATTTAGTAATTTAGTATGCGTGTACTACAAACTTACCCTCATGAGGCGGCTACCCAAGGCGTCCAGACCCTCCGAGCTGCTGGCGTAGCTGCGCGTGGCCGATGGTTGATCTGCAAGAGTCTTCTTAAGAATACGTTGAAGAATTTTATTGTTCTCCGTTATACAGTCCAAAACCTCATTAGTTCTGCCCACCATTCGATCGCTGTTGTGGCGCGATTTTGACCTGGGCGCCTCCTGAAACTGGTCCTCGTCTTCGTCCTCGTCCCGGAACCGAATCACCTTGGGGCTGGTGGGGCGGTAGTGGGTGGTGCTGCCCGAGTAGCCCTCATCGAAATCGTCACGACGTAGGGCAGACTTGGGTGTAGTGGCGCCTTGGCGGCGGGGACTTTGCTCCCGGGACTTGGCGGCCCGGAATTCCTCGAAGGAGAGCGAGGGTGAGATGACGTCCTTGAGCTTTTGATTGAATGCCTTGTAGTCCTTCTGGGTCTTGAAGTCAAACTTGTGCTCCTGCTCCAGGATGCGTATGCGCTCCTCGAGCTCCTCGGCAGTGGGTGGCTCTGGTCTGCCAGGAGAACTGACTATTCTCTCCAGATTGTGCACCGGTGTCCTGGGCTTTTGCTCATCGCGCATCTTCTGACGCTTTATGTCATCGATGGTGGGCGATCGGGAGCGAGACTTGGGTCGGGCTTTGGCCGGCGACTTGAGCTTGCCATCGAGGACTCGTATCCTGTGCTCCAGTTCTCCTGTTGTGGGTATTGCACTGTCATCCGGACTGGGGCTTAGAATCATTTCGAGAGGATGAATGGCCGGTTTCCTGTTCGGGTCGTTCATTCGCTTGGCCAAGTTTTCCTTCGATTTGGATCTTACCAAATCAAGTACCCGATATTTGTACTCCAGGTCATCGGAGATTGGAAGGTCGTTGGGATGCGGCTTGCGACGAAGTGGAGAGGTGTAGGGACTCCTCTTGGACTTTCTTTCGGGTGAGCGCGTTGGAGAAGGTGATCTCTGTCGATGTCTGGAGGGCGAAGTGTAAGGCGACTTGGCTGACTTTCGCGAAGGAGAGGTGTAAGGAGACTTAATAGCAGCCTTCCGGGAAGGAGATGTGTAGGGAGATTTAGAGGCAGCATTGCGAGAAGGAGATGTATACGGAGATTTACTGGCCACCTTGCGTCCAGGACTGCGCGAACGATCTCTGACCGTTGCAGTTTCCTCCGCTTTTGTGGTGGTTTCCAAAGGCAATGCCTCCTCGTCATCCAGACCCTTGCCCTCACAAAGCTCCAAGTACTTGTTCAAGTCCGTTTCGTGGGAAAGCGAATACTGCAGCTTTATTTTCCGTTCGATCTCATTCAATCGCTGCTCGACATCGATTTTCTCCACATCCTCCAGCAGTTTGATTTGACGTTCCAAGGAGCGGAAGCGCGATTCCAGCTCTTTGGTGGAAGGCAGGTGGACTGTTCTACGTTTTAGGTGGTGTTTCACAGTGTTGGGTCCCCAGTCGTAGTCCTCCGGCTCTTCAGCCTTTGGTTTGTCCTCTTTTGCGGGCTCCTTTGGCTTGGGCTTCTCCTCCGGCTTGGCGCTAGTGAAATCCTCAATTTCTTTTGTGAGATCACAAATAGCTTGAGCCTGCTCCACTTCCTCCGCACTTGGCTTGCTGCTATCGGCTCGTATCAGGCGACCATCTTCGGATTTGATGAGATTGCGATCATTGAGCTGCTTTTCTAGAGCCTGGAATAGATCTTCCAGTTCCTCAGTGTTGGCTCTAGTCAATCGCCTCACTTTTGAAGCTCTGGGCTCGTTGTCCATGAGTAGCACTACAGTTTTGCTATTTGCGTCCACTGGTCCAAGATCGGTGGCATTGATCACCATTTTGTCGGGCATTTCTTTTGCCGAAGAATCTTTGCTAGTTTCTTTTTTTTCTGGCAGTTGCTTGGCTGATTCTTTACTGGTCGGGATCTCTGCTGTAGTGGTTTCCTTTGATTCGATTGTTTCAACATTTGAATTTTCGAGTTTATTAGATGATGGCTTTTCCTTGGATTTGGAGTCCTCCTTTTTGATATTGTCCACTTTATTGGTGGGAACTTCTTTGGAAGGGGCTTCCTTGGGTTTGGAATCAGATGCTGAAGACTTTTCCAAAGCAGGTTGAATTTGGGAGGATTTCTCCTTGCTTTTTTCTGCCTTACTTGATTCCGTTTCCTTTTTAGTATCATCCTTTGATTTTTCTGTCATAGGAGACTTGGCTTTCACTACGGCTATCTCCTTGACTGGATTTACTTCAACAACTGTTTGTTCTTTCTCGCCAAGGTTTTCAGTAACCACCTCTTTGGCTCGAGCTTGAGCTTTCTCTTCGTTTTGCAAGGTCTTGGTTTCCTTTGCCGCCTCCGGTTCCGTTTTTCCGACAAGCGGCTCTTCTAACTTCTCAGCTTCGTCGCTTTTCACATGGAGATTGTGGCAGTTCTTCTCCTGCTTTTTGCAGGCGTCACTATCCTCTGGTTTTTCTGGTTTCGCCTCCGGCACTTCATTCTCAGCAGGGATAGTGCCATTTTTGGCCCGCTCCTCCAACAATTGCTGCTCCAATTGCTCCAGGCGACGCGCCAGATCTTCGGTTGAGGGCTTGGACTCACCCTTCGGCGGCTTGGGCTCACCACAATCCTTGTTGAGCAGCATTTTGATATTGATGCTAATGTTGATGGGCTTGTTGGCGTCCACTTCCTCCAGCTCGCCAATGTTCTGGGTGTATCGAACGAGCTCCTTGCCAGTGGCGTCGATCATTTCCGTGCTCAGCCGCCTTGGGGAGTCACTGTCATCGCTGCGGGGGGCCGCTGACCTCTGACGCTCCCTCATTGCCTCCAGCAGCTTGAGACTGTTCTCGCTCAGCTGCTTTTCCAGCGCCAGGACACGCTGCTCCAGCAGAGCCTCGCCCTCCAGGGCCCTGGCCTGATGGGAGGTGCTGGGCTGGTCATCGGGCGGGAGCTTGACCTTCGATGCAACTTCGGAATCACTTGCACAGCGCTGCTTGTAGAACTTCTTGTAGAGTTGCCTCTCCAGGAACTGCAATCGGTTCTCCAGATCGGCCCGGGAGGGTAAATCAGAGAACCGACGCACCATGCGCTGCTGCCAGGCCTCATGGTTTGCTGCTCTGTAGTAAGCCGTGTTTGCAGGTGCTTCCGAGGTCTCATCGCCCATGGGCGCGGGTCGTTGGAGCAGATGATGATGTGGCCGCTGCCTCCTCTGCGGATTTATCTCGCTGGGCTTGAGGTTCTCCTCGCCGGGTGATTGGCCACGCATCTTGCTCTGCAGCTCCTCGATCAGAGCCTGTTGTTGGTGGAGCACGGGTTCGGCCAGGATGGCACGCTCCTTCGGTGGCGGAGGTGGTGGAGGTGGCTCTGGAATGTGCGCCTCGATGGCCACATCGATGTGCTTGGGCTTGGTGCTCTTCTCACCCCCATGCAGTGCCTCAAAGCGACTCTCCAGATCCTCTGTCGACGGCGGGGGCTTCTTTTCCTCCGCTGACTCCGAGATCACCTCCTGTTGAATCCTTTCGAGAGCTTCATCAACAGTTTCGCTTTGAGTGCCCGAATGATTTTTGCTACTCATGCGACGTTTTAAGGTTTCGTAACGCTTTTCCAGATCCTCCGTGGATGGCGGTTCGGAAGCTCTCCTCTGGTTTTTGCCCTTTTGCTGAGCTTCATCTGGTAACTCAGTATGAACAACTTTTTTTTCGGGTGTCTCTAAGTTCTCGTTAATTTTTGGCTTCTTCTTCGATTGATCTTCCTCGACAACTTTCTTCTGCTCTTTAGTTATTGTGGTATTAACTTCTTTAATCTTTTCATCGAAAGATCGCATGGACTTTTGTGCCTTTTCTTCGACTTTTGATGTTTGATTTTTTGCCGATGACTTTGCTGGCTCAGCCTCTTTGTTGGTTTCTATGTTGGTAGTGCTCTTTTGCTTTTCCAAGGCATTGAAACGTTTTTCCAGTTCCTCTGTGGAGGGCGGGGACTTTTTGGGAGTCTTTGCCAAATCCGATTCTTTACTAGTTGATTTGGTTTCTGACTCAGACTTTTTATCAGGTTCAATAGTTTCTGAAACAGGTGTCTTTGTGGTTTCAACCTTTTTGGAATCACTTTCTTTCTTCTTGGTTTCGCCATTATCTGAACCAGGTTTCTTAACAGCTTCCTCTTTTTTTGTTTCCTCAATTTTTTCTGCATCAGATTTCGTTATGGTTTCATCAGTTTTCGGTATCTTTTCATTTCTAGTTGGTGAACTTACTGACTTTACTGACTTTTGGATATCCTCTGCTGATTTGGAGCTTTCGCCTACAGACTTTTCTTTAGGTTTAGGGGACTCAATTTTACTGGAGGTATTGTCCTGATCCTCGAATTTCTTTGGTGATACAGGACTTATCTTAGTTTCAAGTCTTTTCTGTTGACTATCTTGGGAGTCCTCTGCAGCAGCGGGTGTTTCACTGTCTTTGGACTTCTGCCTTGTCTTTACGGACTCTTGTGGCTCTTTTGCTACTTTGGACGACTCTTCATCGGGTGGTTCTTTCTTATTTTTGGATGGGCTGCTTTTCTGTACGCTCATCTTGCGCTCGAGGGCATTGTAACGATCTTCCAGCTCCGCAGTTGATGGAAGTCTCTTAAGGCGTGGCTGCTCGACTCCCTTTTCATCGCCATCGGTGTCCTTGTTACCGCTGGCTTCGAACTTGGCCGTGGTTTCCTTTGTGTCAGATTCGATATCCTCGGAGTTGTGCAGCTTGCTGGTTTTCTCGCTATCATTTTGCTCCTTGGATTTGCTGCCACCTGGCGGCTCTTCATCCTTAAGATCAATGGGAGCCTTGGCAATAGATTCACTGGAGCTCATTTGTTTTGTTAAGGAATTGTAACGTGTTTCGAGATCGGCGGTGGAGGGAATTCGATCGGACTTATTCGGAAAGTCAGAATCCATTTCGACTAGCTCCTTGCGCTGCTTCTCGGCACTTAGTTGTTTTTCAAGGGTGTTGAAACGCTCCTCCAGAGCGGCGGTGCTGGGAATGTACTTGGGCTGCCTGTCACCATTCGGCTGATCCTGGCTGATCCTTCGTTCTAGAGCCTGATAGCGTTCCTCGATCTCAATGGTCGATGAACGAGTCAGTGTTTTGCGTCGCGGATCCCTTCTCTTGCGTGTGGCATTGTTTTTTGAACCAGCTGTTGGGGGTGGTGGCATATACCCTGTACTATTCTCTATCGTCATGCTCAGGAGCTCTTTGTAGTCGTCCTTGTTCTCACCTGGAATGTTGTCGTCCCGAATCTGAGGTACTTTACCAGCCACCTGTACACTGTCGTCCTCCGCTCTTGTGGGGAAAGGGGGCAAGGATTGGTTCTCCCTGTCTCCACTGTGACCCTCGACCTTCTCCCTTTCCTCCAGGTAAATTGCACTAGTATCTGTTTCTTCTTCGTTCAGCGAGTAGGATAACTCCAAACGATTGGGTCGTTCCACACTATTAACCCTTTCGAAGTACTCATTGGTAACCCCATTGTCGCTCACATCGAAACGCTTTTGCTCTTGCAGCAAGTCTTCATCGGCTTCACTTTTCATTTTTGGTGTGCCAATGGGACTAATTGGGATCTCGGTTTCGCTATGTAAGTTTAGAGGCTCCAGCTTGTAGCTGACCAAATCCAGTTCCTTGTCAAAGCCAAAACGACCGCTTTCCGTGGCACTGTCCTCGCCCAAATCTACAGGATCCACCTCCTCCTTGACGGCCGGCTCCTTCTCATCGCCACTGTCCGTGCCCATCAGCATGAAGGGAATCTCGTGACTGCTGGGAGCCCAGGATTTGGGTCGCTGTCGCTCCAAGCTCGCATCCCTGGAGCCGGTCAGCTGCTTCTGCTCCTTGAGCTTGCGAGCCAGCTTCGCCTTGTGCTTGGGACTTTTCTCAGTGGACTTTGGGTCGTCATCGTCGCAGAGGCTGGTGTCCGTGCTAGAGCCTCCTCCTGCCCCGGCCTCCTGCTCTCCATCGCTTTCCTCGCTGTATGAGGAGCTTTCGCTCTTGCCGAAACGCGTGCGCAGCTTCTGGGTCTTTGCAGTGCCCACATCAATGCCCTCCCGCACCATGGCCGCCCGATCCGCCTTGATCTCCTTCCAGGTCAGACTGTCCCGTCGCCTTTGGCTGGTGTCGGTATCCCGCCAGAGCAGGGTCTCCCCCCTTCTCAGCTGCTTTTCTGAGGCGGGTTTGGTGTGAAGGACTGCCGGAAGAGATGGCTTTCGAGCGGGCGGAATGGCGCCCAACGGTGCTCCAACCCGTTTCCCCTTGTTGGTCACGATGGCCGGGCGCCCGAGAAGCAATTGATTCACTTGCACAGCCGTCTGGGAACTGCTCGCCGGACCAGATCCTTGACGGGCCGCCGTGGAGCAGGCTGTGGTTAGGATGACATGAGCCTGTTTCTGGCGCTCCCTCAGCCGATCATACTGCTTCTTCAGCAGGGATATGTCCAAGGCCAGGCGGTCCTTCTGCTCCACTTGCTGTTTCCCAGTCGCCGCCGCCGGACCCACAGATCCACGTCTGCCCCAATTCAAGCCAAAAACGGTGGCCACCGCCATGCGCTCCTCATCCGAATGGGTGTCCTCCTCGTCGTAGTAAAGCCTTTATGTAAAAGGTAGGTTTATTATATGTTAATATTCTGAATATTTCGTTCAACTCACTGCAATCCCTGTTTGTTACGCAGAGGGGCTATGTTGTAGAGGTGCTTATCCCTCAGCTGCCTCAGGTCCGCAATGGCTCCTAGCTTCACCACACGTTCAATAAGTCCATTCGAGTCCACCAGATGTCCATTTAGAAGCTCACTGGAGTAGGATCCCATCTTGCCATAGAACTCATCCGCAGATCGGACACTGAGTACACGCCTTGAAAGAAATGTTATTGTTTAGAGTTTTAATACTATCCTAAAAGAAGTTATATTGCATGCAAATTAATATTTAAAGCAATTTGCTATATAAACTTACTTAAAAGTTGCTATTTATTGCGATGTGACCAAACCCCATAAATAAAGCTTTCATGTGACCAAATGCCTTATAAAAACTTTTTATTCTTTTAATTTCGCAACTTAATTCTTGACCTTGACCTACCCCAAAAACCTTCTCTAGTTTACATTTAGCATAGTTCAATGTCGTTTGCTTTTTTAGTATTGTTGTTATTTACAAATCTTGTTTTCCACAGAACCATAAAAAGTTCCACAACGTCTGAACATGAAATTCCTTGTGGGCAAAGACCGAGCGGAATTGCCAAATTCCATTTGGCAAGCAGAAAAAACTCTTGCCAAAATTCCAGCAACCTTGACACAAATTCACGACATGCACTGCGGCGATTGTTTGGCCCAACCACCAACCGAAATCCAGCCCAAACATTTTACTGTTATCGCACTAACGTTATTAATTATAGTTTAGAAAATACCTAAATGAAGCGTAATGCCTTTCAGATGGTTTTCAGATTACATGGCTATCCGATATGTAATTGAAATCCAATTTAGAAGTAATATTTTAGTTAAACATTTTTGTTTTAAATTTAAGTCTTTTATAAGCAAGGAATGGTTTGGTTTATCGAATAAAAAAATTTTAGATTTAAAATTTTGTTCAATTTAAAACTACATTTTTTCATACTTAAAAATAACACTCTAAATCAGTACGAAAATATTTGTTGTAAAGTAAAAATATTTGGATTTGCTACGCTTTTTCTCTGCGTTTATAACTGAATAATTTTCATATTGAGATTTTATTAAAACTCCTTTTTAAGTTCAAACTGGCTAAAAAACCTTAACAAGCTTGCTTTAAATATGATTTTATTTAGGAATTTTCAAAGACTCACTCTTCGAGCAAACTCCAGAGGACGAGGGCTGTGCGCAGTAGGACGTCGCTGCCCTCGATGAGCACCAGGTCCCAGACGCGCAGGACGCAGGACATGGGCAGGCAGGTGCAGAACATGGTGAGGAACCACTGCATGGTGAAGACGTTCGTCAGCGGCGGCTCGAAGGCGTTCTCCACGGGTCCCTGGAGTCGCTGCAGGTGCTTTGCCAGGCGCGGCAGTCGCGTCTGCATCAGCTCCCGAAAGACGCCCATATCCGCCTGCAGCCCGCCCATCGAGCCACAGAAGTAGCCCGTGGGCAGCACGCCCTCCACCAGGTAAATCATGACCTTCATGGACTCCTCCTCCTCCTTGTCCATCACCTGCAATATGAGGGCGCCCAGCATGTTGAAGCCCTGTATGAAACGATATTTGACATTCAGAAGTGCGCGGGCGGACAAAGATCCTTTGAGGAGCACTCACCTGGCAATAGCCCACCTCGGGATTGTAGCGCGCATAGCCGAGCAGGATGCGCTTCAGCTTGGCCTGGTTTATGGAGCCCGCGGGGCCGGTGCACAGATTCGAGCCAGTGCGATGCAGATCCTAAACGGGTGCGAGTCATTTATGATTCCCTGGGGGGCACAGTTTGCCCCTGACTGGAGCTCTCACCTTGACTATTTGGATTCCCAGCTCCTCGTCGTCCTCGCGCCACTCCTCGCAGAAGCACTTCTCGCGCTGCTGCGCCCAGTCCACGTTTTTTGACTTGAGGTACTTGTCCGCCAGCGACAGCCACAACTGCAAAGGTAGTTAACCGTGTGAAAGGGTTATTCACTCAAATAGAACAAAAGTAGTTTTACACATAGAATTTCCTTTTTATAAAGTTAAAATAGCGAAAACTTAAAAACAAAGAATATTGGGTTTGTAATTATTTAAATTTTGAAATCGAATTATAACAAATTGTTACAAAATTCTTGAATTCCTCCTCGATAAAAATGTAAAATTAAAAAAAAGCTTAAGCTTTAAACAATTTTTAATAAACAGAAACTAAGCCGCATGAAAAATATAAGACCTTGATTGCGTTTAGTGTGCGTTATGAAAAATTTACAATTTATGATAGCAATACTTTTCAATTTAATAGATATCTTAGAACGTTCTCACATTCCAAGTAAATATAAAATTTGTTGATGTAAGAGAATTAAATATTAAATACAAACTGAAATAAATATTCTCTCTACACCCCGTGGCCCTATTGCTGGCGAAATTATCGCACAGAGTCAGTTGCCATCTCACCTTGCGCCGGAACTCGGGTGGAGTGCCTCCGGGCAGGCGGGCCACCAGCTTCATGGCATGCAGCCACTGATTGTAGTCCGAGGTGGCTTCGTCGTCGGCGGCAGCGGAGGCGGCGGATCCGGATCCGGAGGCGGTGGGGCTGGTGCCGTGACTTCCGCCATTGCGGGCCAGCATAGTTACAATGCTGGTGCTGGTGCTGGTGCTGGTGCTGGTGCTGTTGGGGCTTCTATTGTTGCCGGTGGGCGAGGTTAGGCGGGCACTGCTAATGGCTTTCTGTGGCGGTGGCGAGAGGCTAAAACGCATCTTAGGCTGTGCATCGTCTGCAAAAGTTAAGCAAAATTCTTATATAGCATACTTTCGGTTGGCGGGTGGATTAAGGTATTGGTTGTCTATTCAAAATAGGATTTGGGCTCTTGGCTTCTGGATCCTTAGCACTTACAATATCCGTGCAGTATGCAAACTTTACATATATATGAAAATTCGTAATACAATAGATATATAGAGTTGGTAGTTGGCACAATTTACGTTTTAAGAGCGCGCAAAAGAGAGAAGAAGAAAGAATACAAAAGAGATATATATATATATATATATGTATATTTATATTCAAATATTGGTATAGCTTATACACTTTATCAATCAAGTGCTCTGATCCAAATGGTTGCGAAATGTCGATGAGCGAAAAAAAACTTGAGAGCGACAACAAATGCGGCATGCAGTTTGTGGGGGAAAGTGGCGATTTGTGGCACATCCTTGGGAGAAATTTCAGTGAAAGCTAAAAAACCAAACCAAAGCCAATCCAAAGCGACACAAAACACTCCATTGAAAAACGGCCCACGCAGACGAGTGTCTGTCTTTGTCTTAAATTGACCATGACATTTATTTCACTCGACAAGTGAGATGCGGTTGGGGATGTGTGGGCGATGTGTGTCCCAGCATTCCATGTTAAACATAGTTAGCTTGCGGGATCCTCCGTGCGATGCTGACACTCTGACATGAGGACAACATCCTCCTGGCTCAACCTTCTCTGATTCTAGGCTGCAGACAGCTGCCGACAGGCACTCCATGCCTACATACTCAGCACTAAAGGTCAAGTTAATAAAAAATATGATGTCTCGGGCTTGTTTTACGATAGCAGCATAAATTCAGATTGCGCTCGGCTGAACGATGATTGGCTAAGGTTCAAATTTTTTCCAAGTTTCCCAACCAATCGATATTTTTTGTGTGTTACCCCGCATTCTGATTTGCAATGTTCTCGTGTGGCCATAGAATCCAGCTTTATGGCTGATAATTTGATTTCCGTTTTATTTTTTACTTCTGTTGTGTGTTTCCAGCTTATCAAGTGAATGCTGCTCGAGCGAAACGTGAGTCAAATTTAAAAGCTAAAATCTGTATTTTTCTCGGGTTTCCACAAAAGCTTTTTCTGCGAAATAAATGGAGAATGGTATGTGTGGAAATAAAATTTCCGTTTTAAAGAATTCTTTGGAAAATTGGTGTAATTGTTTGCGTTGAAAGCTGACAGTCGAGTATGCGGGGAATCCATTAACATGGAGCCTCAAAGTAGACACCAAAATGGTTTGGTTAAATTATTCTCGCATTCAGAATCCTTTTTGGATTACATTTACAGTTTTACTTCTTTCAGTTAAACTTTTATTTTAATAACGCTTTAAAAAATGTAATATTGAATTGGTTAATTTACTTTAGTTTAAAAGGTCGTTTATAATCGAAACTTATTTCTTTTCAGTGAGAAAAGCATTGACAAACAAATACTTATTTTTACTTCGCTTTTGGAAATTTTTATTAAAGTTCTAGTTTAGCACGCTTTACTGTATTTGTCGTTTTGATTGCTGAGCATTTTTTCTTCCATCGCTTATTGACGTGCTTATGCAAATTCACACATGTATGTACATATGTTTGGCGTGCCCGAAATGTCAACTCCTCCGAAGAAAGGCATTTGTATAATGAAGAGACATTGCGTTCGCCCAAAGTTAAAGCTAAACAAACATAGGCTTGTTTACCCTCAGCAAATTGGAGAATATCTTGGGAGAGGGTGCAAAGCTTTTATGCCCCTAGCCCTAGCAAACTGGAGTACCAGCATCGGGAGACCCCGACCCAGGCTAATGAAATACTAATTGCGCCGACTCTTATGTAATGGGGTTCCTAACTTCGCACCAATTAGGCGCCGGACATAAAAACATTCTTTATGGCCCGAGGATGGACTGGCCGCCACGGGGAGCCTTTTATTTTTCCTTACTTCAAGTGCATTTTTCATGAGAGATTTATGTGCAAATGACAAGAGGAGCATTTCTTTATTGTGTGCAAGTGAGTGTAATTATTTTAAATGCGCCTGCCCAAGGACATTGATAGGACGTACGAGTGTTTGTCTAGTTCGCGAGCGTGTCAAGGCTGCGATAGTTAGCCCACATTTTGCCTGAATGTTTGGGCCTTGACCAAAACCAAAGTTTGGCCAGCATCACGTGCGTGTTAGCCCTTTATGACGTGAGTGTGTGTGTTTTGTGTACTCAACCATAAAAACACACAAGGCATGACAGTTGGTTTAATGAGCCAAAAGTATATTAGACCTGTCAGCTATTTATTCTGGGAAAGAAGAAATGAAAAAAAGCAAACTGCTTATGGTTTTGGTGAAAACAAAGAAAATATGAAATACATGAAAAAACATTGTCTTGAGAAAAAATGTTTGTTAGAATCGGAAGCTAAAATTATTATATTAGATTGCTAATTTTGGGTATTGGGGAATATATATTGTTATAGAAAAAAAATGTATCCGAACTGGTGTTATAAGTTAACACCCTTTAAAAAAATATCAACTAGATGATTAAGTAGTAGTAATGCTGAAGAGATATTAATTTTCTTCCTCAGTGTGGCTACAACCTTGTACTACCTACCATAAAACATTTATAATACGCCAGGCTAAGACCTAACTTTAATTCGACTTCTCTTTGGCCACCTTTTGAGCAGTTCAAAAGACATTTACTTTACTTATGTAATGCCCATATCCCCATTGAGTCGCTGTGTGAAAGCAGCCAAAGCTGTGTACTTAAACCGCATTTATCCCTCAGGATTGCTTGACCCCAAAACTGGTGGACTGGGTCGAAAAGAGGCTGAAGCGTCTGTGTGTCTTCGACTACTCTTTTCTGGACCATTCTGCGATGCAGTTGGCTAGGGAATTACGTATGTATATAGGAAACTCGGATGCGCAGGCACGTCCTGAGCCATTAGTGTCAATTCGGGCGTAGGGCTGCTAATGAATTCCCCAGTCAACGGCCATCCAGATGATGAATTTAATCCGCGCTGGTTCATTAAACTACTGCATTGCTTAACCCCAATGATTATCGGCTTAGCGATTGCGATTCGCTTTTATCACGCGGTCCCAGACAAAAGCACTTCAGTAGGCGATTATGCAAAAAGGGAGCGAAGGAAATGTAGTGGTTAAGAAAGGGAAAACAAGGGAAAATGAGGAAAAATTGCGAAGGGTAAATGCTGCTTTTGATGGCTTACATAATGGCTCCCCGAGGAACACTCGTCTTGTTGCTGTTGGGGCTACTGTTGCACTTTTCGCAATCTCTGCACGAGTGGTCCTGTATTTAACTTTGATTACATTTTCGAATTACCCTCCAAAAGCATTACTTATATGTCACGTGGGTCTACTTTGAGTATCGCCATAGCAAAGTCAATCAATTTGCATCATGCGGACTTAAGCTGCCTGTCAATTCCAAAAAGCCCGGTTCTTTTGAAACTTAAGTGAGCATTGTGTCCTGCCAAAAGCAATCAAATTCTTTATTTTTCTCACAATTTTTCCATCTGCGTCTGCAGCTTCATAAGTTTGACAAAGGATCTGTGCTTGTGACAGCCGAGTTTGTCCTTGGCTTTACATTAAAACTTTTCTGAAAATTACTTCGCTACCCAATCAGTTTGGTGTTGGGAACATTGTACTCAGATAAGTGTTCAGAATACCATTTAATCCATTAAAAAAATATATTTTTATGCAATTCTTTTGTAAATGTTAAATTGTAATATTAAAGGTTTTCATCCATTTTCCCTTATGCCTTTTACCTTTAGTTTAAATGTTTATGGAAAAGGAAGTCAAAGGTAAATCGAATTTCTATGTTCATTCTCCTGGTACCCTGAATATTGCGATATCATCCGCTTAACTTGAGCTCGGATTGCTGGAATCTTTTCGTGCACGTGTGTGCACATGTCCAAAGTGCTGGCATACTTCAAACTTCCAACCGCCCACACAGCAGCTCGTGTCACTTTGCATCGCCATAAACGCGACGGGCGTCATAAATAAACCGACCTGCCAGTGTAAGCTGCGACGCAGTAATTACAATTTGATGGGAAAATGTCAGAGGTGCTGGTGAAATTGTAAAAAAAACAAAAGCCCAAACAGGAAGCACGGCAAACACAGATGGGTTGAAGCAAGTAACAGACGCGTATGTTTAGCGAAATCAGCAGAGCGTGAAATGATTGCTGAAATAGGTGGGAAAAACAGGAAAGACAACAGCAACAACTTGACCAACGTGCAACAGATGTACTTTTGTATGTAAGTTCGGGTGTGAGGGGTCATAAGGCGGCAATAATCGAAACGGAAAATGTTGTAAACAGGATTCAAACAAAAAACTGAATACCAAACACGGCAGCAAAAAACTCAACTTATTTGTGCTCTGTCCGGGGTTGGATAAATGGGTTAAATGGGGTCGAAAGCCTCCAACACTGCTACATGGCAAAAAAATGGAAATTTATGCCAGCAAGGGGAAGCCCTTGCCCAACGTAAATGCAAATGTTAATTACAAGCGGCCGCCAAAATTAGAATTGTGCGAGTTTAGAATGAGTAACACTTATGTATGTATGCCTCGACGGTGTGATGTGCACGTGTATGCGATGTGTTTGTATGTGTGCATTAGAGCGGACCTCAGTTAACACTGTACCTTAACTCATGCCTTATGTAAAATAATGAATTATTTTATGTTTCCTTTTTTATATTTTAAAATTAAAAAGAAACTTTCATTTTGATTTATCAAAAAAATGTATAAATGAATGCTTTTAAACAAAGAATGAATGATGTTTTATAAAGACCACGAGTCGTATGAGTAATTAAAATCTACAGTTTTTCTCAGTGAATTGGTAAAAATTTTGTATTGTTTCTCTAAACAAAAATTAATCACTTCAAAATGACTTCCTCTTAAATAGGTAACTTTGAACTTTTTCAAATTTTGGCTTATTGAGGTCCGCCCTACTGTTTGTGGGCCCAACGAACATTTTATGATATATGCAGCAGCTTCTCTTTTGAACTTCTTTTGCATAAATTACCTTTTCGTTGTTTATTGGTTGGTTTTACACGTTGTCAAACAAATAAGGTAAAGAAAGAGAGGGATAGAGAGAGCAAGAATTAAGTCTTTGTTTCAAAACGAGCAAAAGATCGAATGCAAAGCAATTCGGTTATTTTTGCTTTGAGGCGCGCTAAAAAACACAAGGTAAAAGACATCGATCGACAGTTAATAGACTTGAAAGGTATGTTAGTATATATGTACAACACACACACACACACAGACAGAGAAAGAGAGAATGAGTGTTAGCTGGTTAGTCTGTGCGGCTTGGCATAGTTACCCATGTTAAGTTAACGTGCGCCTGACGGTATGCTATGATTTCTGCCACTGCACGCAGCGGCTCTTTGTTGTTGCTGCTGCAGTTGGTAGTTTTTGTTGTGGGGATTCTCTATTTATGGCTTTACATTTTTGCTTTACGTTGTACTTGTTGTTGTTCTTGTTGTAGTAGTAGTTGTTGTTGTTGCTGTTGTTGTTGCTGTGGCCTATTGTATTATTTACACAAGATTTACATAATTACACATAAAGACACTTACACATTGGCATGCACATCTATAAACACGTATTGCGCTATAGGATAGAGATCTGTGGCATGCTGAAGTTATATAACTTGTCCAAGACTGTGGACTGACACTCACACACACACACAAATATATCACCGTAGCTCAAATGTCATTGAAAACTATTTGGTTTTCCTCGCAGAAGAGCTCAAAAAACATTCAACTCACACACACCATCGTCTGGGAAAAAAAGGGGGAAAACCTTGACAACTAAGCAACTGCAGACCCAGTTCACAAAGCTTGGCCAGGTGACAGCTGACTTTGGAGAAAAAATAGTAAAGAAAAGCAGACCCCAAGAAGCGTCTTAATGTTACACTTGGCAAATACATGAGGATTGGCTTAAATAGGAACAGTAAATCTTGATGAATTTATGTAAAACATAAGAAAGAAAGTTTAAGACATTATTTAAAAATCTCTGGCAAAAAATTTTAAACAACTCTTAGAGATATAAAATCTATTTAAGTTGTTTCAGAATAAACACGAAAACAACAAAACCAAAGTTTTACTTAGTTTTTGGATTCCCTTTTTGTAATTTAGTGAAAATTTTATAATTTTCATTTTAAGAATTTTTTTCCTTTGACTATAACCAAACCATTGTATTACTAGTGGTGCACTCATCGATCCCCCGCCTTACTGGTCGCTGTCTTGACCCACTTTCGTTGTTACGTTTGAAACGACCCCTGTTCTGGCGAAATAATTTCTCTTGAGCCGGATTTCGTTTTTAAACTTTCATAGTATTTAAATGTATAATTCTGCACGAGCTGCTGCTGTCAGAATTAATATGAAGCCTAATACCAAGGATTGTGGCCAAGTCGATCTGGCAGGCTTTCATGATTTTGACGGGAAAGGTAAACAGAGCTTGAAGCCACGTGTCATTTAATTATGGAGGCAGCTTTAAGGTCAATTGTTGGGGCTATTAATTAAGAACTGCCAATAAAAGTTTCTTTGAACTTCTCTCAACTTTTTCCTCATCCACTTCTTGTTATATAGTTACTTTTTCACTGCTAAATGCTTGACGCTCATCAAAGTTGCTGAACTGCTGCATAATGGATTTGAACGGCTTGGCCCAGATATATGGATTAAAGCCGCGCGGCCTTCAACCCTTTTGCCGTTTTTTTTTTTTTTTTTGTGGGACATTCTGTGTAGTTATGCAATCCACAACCAACAATTTTTTGCCAAACAAAAGCCAGTTCGTGAGCCTTTTCGGTGGGCGAGTGTGAGAGCGTGACATGAATCACACTCGTCGTTGGACACACTGTGCACAACAATGGCAGCAACAATAGCTGGTCATATCAGCCAGGGCCAAAAGTGGCACCTCATGTGTGTGTGTGGCAGCCATCAAAACAAGGCAGGGATAAGCGAGGAGGGGGCGGCGGATATTTTACCCATATTCAGCGTCAACGGGAAATGAACCAGGAAAACGCATTGAAAGCGGTGTTCGCTCTTAATGAAATTTTCGATTGCATGCTTTTAGGCGAGTGCAGTTTTTAATTGCATTTTCCTAGGCTCGCCACGCCAGTCGATCGATAAAATTGTACTATTCCATTACGCACGCTGCTGTTGTTTCTTGGGTCCAACGCTTGGAATTGAATTAGAATGTTGTTTTCCTTCTCTTGAATAAGTTAAATAATAAATAAATAAATACATGGTAATGGTATGCCACGCTACTTTTGCACGCGCTTTTTTTATGGCTCTTGCTTTCCACCTACCATCGCTATTTTGGTCGAGTAATATCAAGGGTAACACACGCACACACACACACACACACACACACAAAGAAAGAGAGGGTGTAGAAAAGTAAGAGAGACGGAGATGATATAAAAACATAGATAAGACAGGCAAAAATGCTTGTGGAGGCCAGTCCACACGTTTGTTATTTCAAACCGCTAGTTCACACACACACACTGGCACTCTCACGCACACAAAGTCAGATTTTATATTTTTTTTGTAGTTTAGTGTGAGCGTGTGAGTGTGTGGCCCGTCAGACAGTCTCAATGCTGCGCTGTGTCGTCATCAACTCAGCCTCTTGCTTTCGGGGCACACCCACACTCTCACACGCATAGGCTGCCCACCTGCCCACAACTCTCACTCACACACACACATACACTCGCACACGGCCACAGAACACAACAAAGTTCATTCAATAAAAGCAAACACACACACACACATACATGCACGTTGCGTGACGCTAGCGAGGATTTTTTCAGCGTTCAGCGTAGAGCTTTGCAACTTTCTCTGGCTCTTCGATTCCGCACTTCCGATCCACACAGCTGAGAGTTCCGCACTTGACTGACGGCAATAGTTTGGCCAAAGCCAAACCGAGCCCCCAGCTGTCAGTGGGGAGCCTGCGCAGTGGACATCCTCCCCCCACCCACACACCCACACATTGACATTTAATGCACTTAACAAAAACTGTATATTGTATAGTGATTGTTAACTTTTTAATTATGCAATCTTAGTGTTTTCTGAACAAATGTGTGAAAATTACTAGCCTTAAATTAGAAGCATAGGAAACTTATAAGGTTAGCGCGCAACTGCACCAAAAAAAGCAGAACTAGTTCGTAGGTTTTATCACCTGTTACCATTCAAAGTACCTATTTTTAAATGCTTAACATTTTTGAAGGCAATAAGGCAAAGAAAGTAGTTAAAAAAGGATTGTTTACCACCAACGATCTAGCCTAATTTTATCAAAACCACTACTAGACTGTTTATATCCTCATACTCAAAGATACTTTAAATAATAATTTTTAACATACTAATTACAAATAGTGTTCTTGTCAATATTTAAATTAAAGCAAATTTAATTATTAATTAATTTATATTAAGACTGAGAAGGTCGTACTTACCGCTCTCAACGACTAGCACAGCGGTGACGAACTCGCAGAGTACCTCCTGATGCCGCTGCAGGCGATCTCTGGCCAAAAGGACTCTTTCCAGCAAATACCCCAACATCAGGATCTCCACCTTCAGGATGGCGCACACATCAATCAGATTGCGCACATCCAAACGCTCCAGGGTGGACCGATTGCCGACCATGCCGCTGGCCAATCGGGCCAATTGTCCTTTCTTCTCCTTCGAGGATCGGCAGCGAAAGACAGGATCCCTACGGCAGCGTCTCATGCGCTTGGCCAACTGCTCCTGCCTGCCGTAGATGTCGCATAGCAATGCATCGAGTAGCTTCTTGGTTTCACTAAAGGAAGGTGTTTCCAAATTCCAGCTATCATACCTATGCTAATGGCTCACCTCATTTCTTCGGATTGATGATAAGGCTCAGCAGTTCGTGGATTACTTTTAATTTAAACTTACACACATTGGTCTTGAGCTGCCTGGGAATTTTTTTACTTTTTTCTTTTTTTACAAAAAGGTAACCGAAGAACTTAAATTAACATAATAATCAACGACAGTGACGTTTGAGTGTTTTCTTGAAATTGTATTTATTTTTTTTTGGCTTTTTCAACATTACATTTTGAAATTTGTTATTGATAGATTTCTTTAAGGTTGCTTTAAGTTAAGGAAAATGTTCAGAAATAAATTTATCACTTGTTGACCAGCGTACAATTTTTGAATTGCATAGAAAACCATAGAATGGTGTACAAAGCTGGAAACGATTTGAGCGTGATAAAAGGCTTCCATTTAATTTGGAGATAAACCATAACCTAGTAGAAGGTGCGATCCATGTGCGTGTTTAGGGAGAAATTGCGATACATGCCAAAGCGAACGACTTCGTTGGAGAAATTCTGGGGCAGAGGATAGAAGCGTTTGGGGATAGTATAGGCATTGGGTGCATAGTAACCATATTCCGAGTTGCAAGTGCGGTACATTGTGTTCGAGTCCGTTTCCACGCCATAACCCTTGAAGCTATCTGTTCAAGAAATATTTCAAAATGTATTAAATCAAAGGTTCTTTAGCGAGGAGAGGAGAGATCCTTCCACTCACAGGGACACTTGATGTCCTCCCGCTTGTGCAGATTCTCATAGAGCTGGGCAGTCCTCACGACGGGCTTGCGTTTTTGGAACTTGGCAAACTCCACCTCCGGATTGAAGGTCTCAAACTTGTCGCAGTACTGCTCGCACATTTTCTCAGTTTAACTAGTAAAAAATGTAATAATTATTTAACGCGACGTGTGCCTAGGACTACCAACCAATAGTGCCTAGTGCTATTGAACCAACGGGACAAGTGCCAAAAAGGTTGCTATGTTTGAATTCTGACAGCCGCCCGGGTGAGGGGAAAACTCCAAAACTCAGCGCCTGCGCCTGGCCAACCGCTTTGACAGCTCGCGTGACAGTTGTGGACTGGCCAACCCACCCCGCTGAAAATGTACAAAAATACACAACTGAACTCAACACACAACAATTCGCTGCAATTTTAGCTCTACGATGTATAGGATGTGCAACCTATCGAACCTGCTGAACTTCATCATCTGCATAGCAAGCTTCAGCCAGAACTTTGATGGAACTCTGGCAGTCAAGAGGGGGCCACATCATCCAAGGGGCGAAACACGGAGAGTGGACCAGCATCTCACCCACGAGGAGCAGTGAGTGCGGGGAGCAAGTAAAATACGGGCTAACAATGTATAAATATTTCCTTAATTTAGTCGAATCGATGACGATTTGAGGGACATGGGCGTGCAGGCCAATCTGGATGACTTGAGCGAAGAGGAGAAGATCTTCTACATGTTCAAGGTGGCACCTAAAATGCCTTGTGCACGATAGTACCCAGTACTAAATAGTTTCATAATTTTAGGCCCATGACAATGACAACAATAATGCACTTGATGGACTCGAGATGATTCAGTCGGCCATGCATCATAACTATGACTACTTTAAAAACAACGAGCGGGATGAATACTTGCAAAATGCGACCGATGAGTTGGAACACTTTATAGGTACCTAATTCTTTCTTATCTTTTTTTCTTAACTATTTCAGCCATGTCATCACTTATAAATTTTAGTTTGTTACAGTACCCTATATGTAACAAGATGAATAATTCAACGAAACATGTAGTTCTTATTGTAATTGAAAAGGCATATTAATGGACTTTAGTTTGTTAAAATCAAATGTGTTTAATTTATTTTTATTTTATTTTCACAGAGGCCATTGACAAGTTTTTGCTGATTGCCGATGACAACAACGATGGTCTGCTACACTATCCAGAATTTGTTAAGGCCATAACCGGCGGCAAGGATCAACTGAATGTGGACAGGAATATTCTGCGCTAACCCCACAAAGACCCGATTAGCATTCACCAACAAACGAAACATCCGAAACAGTAGACACAATAATAGACATAGAATAGTTAAATTTTTTAGCAACTAATCTGATTTCCATGCTGAACCATTTGAGACTGTACACCACAAGCAGAAAACCACACACTAGCCTGCACCACGTTTGTACTACAACCTAATGATTTAATATACATTTAAATAGATACATAAATAAGTGTTTTTCAATCGGAAACTTTAAAGCAATCCGTCACAAGTCTGGGTGGTGTTGCAGGCCACTCCTCGAAAGCCATCGTAGGCGGCACGCTCCATCAGAACGATGAGATCGTTGTAGCGTGGTTTCTCCAGCGGCACACTATGAATAATACAATTAAAAGTCTTATTTTTACTGGCTAATTTGTAAGCTTATTTTGAAACGTAAATTCAAATAAAATTTCAAAGATATGAAGGCAGGGTAGTCAGAAGTAAAATATAACGTTTTGTAATTTATAAAAGACAAGCACCTACTAATTAAAAATTGATTGAGCTTACCACAGATCTCTGATCTGATTGAGCTTACTGATTATTAAATTGTAATATACATTAAAACTAATGAATATAAATGAGAATACATTCTTTGAGCTTCATTAGTATTTGGTTTGTTAAAACAAAAATGTAAGAATAAAATAAGGAACAAACAAAACTGGCTTTACTTATATATATATTTTGAGAGTTAAAAAGGTGAAACCTTACCCCTTGAAAACTTCGATGGCGCCCAAAAGAGCACGTCCTGCCTTCGCATACTCATAGGCTGCTGTGGGACAGGCACAGGAAGCTGCATAGAGGCACTCATCCCTGCCGGATCCCTGGGCGGCCAAAAACCCAGTAATCAGATAGTCATCACCAGAAGTCAAGCCCAGGCCCAAGTTGGTATCGCTGCGGCCAGCGGAGCGACCATGGCCATAGCCATAGCCACTCCAGTGTCCTGCTCCCAGCATTCCAGCTGAGAAGATAAGAACCTTTAGCAGTATGATGACCAGCAGATTGGTGAGATTTAAGCTAAGGACCTAAGGTAGAAGTAATGAATTAAATGTTGCATTAAATATCTAATTTAAATACAAATTATTTTCCATTTCTGATATATGTTTAACCCACTTGACTGTTTCCGGCTGAACGATGCAGCAGCTCCTTGGCCACCTGGATGACCACATGGCCAGCGGGACTGCCGAACATGCTGTTGGCATTTCGCAACCAAGAAAGTGGTCTTTCCAGGGCAGTTATTCCTCCACTGAACTCCAATTCGGTGGAGTTGGGTACATCCGCATTATCCATATCCAGGTCGTAGTTTTGAAGCTGATAACTGGCTGTCATGGCAAGAACTGGGAAGCAGATCAGAGCCGCGACAGTGATGATGATATAATCCCAGCCTGGTTGTGGCATCTCGAAGATCGCGTGCTTGTCTTTCGGTCTGTGTCGGAAGTAATGCGAATGATGACTAGTCTGGGCCCTGTGAAGTGCCTGCTTTTTATGGGACGATATTTCGGTTTGGCAGGTAGGCGAGCAGATTAGACTGCAGGCCTCGTTGCACTGGAAAAGCGGATCGCCAGCGAGAGTGTTTTTCCTGGTGTCATTAGCCTGAAAATGCAGCAGACGTTTTTCCGCCCGAAGGATTCGCTACTGTCAATGCCAACTCAATTCCGCAGGTAGACGCACGCGAAATTGTGCGTGGTAGTGGAAAACAATTTGTGTCTTTGCTTTTGTATCAATCATCAACTCATTTATTGTTACTTTGGTTTTGGATTTTGTTTTTCTTAGCCATTGCAGTTGCCGCTGTTCATTGGAATAATAATAGTATATATATAGATTTGCAGTAAATTTGTGAGTATCAATTGCGTTGGTATACCCCCGGCTCTTTTCGCTTTTTTTTTGGGGATATGGGGAATTTCAGGGGGAGGGTGAATCAATTACAGACAACATATAAGTACATATTTCTTGCTATACTTTCACAATAATACGAGTATTTATTTGGTATATTTTGCAACAGATAAGAAGTCGTGTAAGTTATATGCTTTATGCTTGAGTATTACGCTTGAATTTCAATTTATGCTTTCAGCACTTTCTGTTCACTTGATGTACGATATTTTTATGGGGTGAGTGAGTTGTGGGTCTAGTGCCATGTTATTTGTATGTTCGTCGAATTCCTCGAGCAATGCCTGTATTTATGTACTTTCTGTTCTACATTTGTCGTTATAAATATATGTTTATAAAACATTCCGTGAATATGTGCCAGTTCGATTAAAATGATGATGTTTACGATTACGAAAAAGTACTTGTAGCCAAAGATTCACTTATAATTACATACATATTTTATATATATTTGTATATAGATGGTAGGATGATATAGAATGAGTAAACAGGCGTTGGCCCTAACCAAAAACAATAGTTATTCGATATTCTTGTATAGTTGTAAATTTGTTTAGATTAAAATATTTGTAGTATTCCCAAATGTAGATTCTACTAAAATCGAAGAGAGTTGGTAAATTAACAAGTTTCCAGTATTCTCCTGCTATATTCCTCTGCATATAACAGTGTTTAAAATTTTCTAATGCAATTAGTTGATAAAAGAGAAAAGTTTACAACCCAATTAAAATGATGTCAAGTCGAACACGTAACTACTATATCATATATAACATATGTAAAATTGTCTATTGCTCTAAATAATGCTTAAACATGTGCGTAACAAAAAACATGTATCAAACATTTGACGCTAAATCATAGTCTTAAACAATTGAAGCTATTGTTTATATCTTGAATGTATAATATGACTTCGTTGTTGACGCTTGCAACATTTATAAATATTTATTTTCGTATATTATCTAAATATTACTCAAAATCATCGCCTCTATCTGTTCATGCCTCGACCTTCGTGTACCGACTAAACCGTGTAAATTTATGTGGATCGCATGGGATCGCTAGATTTCCGAATATGCTTGGTTCGTTATTGTTGTCAAGTTGGTTCAGCCTAGATTAACATTGCTTGTCGTGCTTGGTACTTCCAATCTTTTCACGTCTTTCAAAGCCCGGATGCCGGCTTGTTTTGTTTGTAAACATTAACTGCTAATACATCATAATAATAATCATAATATTTGTGGTAATAAACATTTACTTTGTGTGTGAGTAGCTTCTGTTCTTGTGTACTTTTGTGTTTCGTTTGTAACATTTGCTCATAGTAATTTTCGAATACATATAGTTCGTTAACCGATTTATCCATTATAATTAGATCGCGATATATTAGTATTAAACGTTTGGTTGTTTGTTTTACTTTGCGCATATTGTCTTTTATTTTATGTAGTTTTTAGGATTTCATATGTGTCTCATGTTGGTATATAACAAATTCATTAATATTCGATTTCTTTAAAAATTTCCCATTGATTTATTAGCAGGTTAACATGTAATATACGCTTGCGAATACTTTTTATGTCGTCAACTCTCAATTGGTTTAATATGTCGCTATATAATTCAATATTTGTCTCAATAATATATTTAATATATAATTTTTAGCTTTGGAAAATGCATCAAAATGTTTTTATGTATGGTAATTAAATAGGTTCCTCGTTCTTTTCGTTTTATCATGCTGCAAAACCAGTCAAGTCATCGGCGACATTTCATTGCACATATCTAAAGGGTTTTGCATTATTGTTGTTGCATTGGTGGTTATAATTAAGTATTAGTAGTGTTCTACAGTGTCTACATAGCAATTTCTGCTGCTTCCTTGCCGTTTTTTTCTTATGGTCTTATGGCAAATGAAAGGAAAGTGTTTCGATCAAGAAAGTTGACAGTTGAAACGATAGTAACCAAATGATTATGTTTTAAGTGAGTGAGTATATGCTTAGTGTTTTTCCCATGAAACCAGGAAACTTCAGAGGCAGAAAATAGATAGATTTCTGTAGTTTGCTTGTGTGTTTGTATGAATAAGGGTGATAGTTTTGCTTTGGAATTTCTTTTGGATTCACTTCAAGTCCAGTTCTTCGTCGTCCTCCTTGCTGGCACTCCAGCGTTTGGTATGCGACCCAATGCTGCTCATACTGCCCGAGTCGCTGAAGTCGCTGAATGCGGCATTCTGGATGCCCTCGTAGATCTTATAGCTTCCCGATCCGTTTCCGGAACCCATTCCGCTGGAGCTCATGCTCATGCTTTTGGAGGCCCCGAAGCGATCGCTCTTGTAGTTGGAAGGTGGTCCTCCGAAAATCATGTCAGCATCTGAAATGGAGCCTGCAGCCCGGGTGTATTTGCCATTTCCATAGGAGGCTGGCGTGGTCTTGGTGTCTCCGAAAATGACATCCAGATCCGAGTGCTTGGAAGCTGCAAGAATTGGAAGCATACATTAGTTACAAATCTTTGGGTTAGGCGACAAGTGCACATCAATTTGGCGTGGGTGCAGTTCTTAGCACTTATCGTTAGCACTACGTGAGCCAATCAAGCTTTATTTCTATCTATACAAGAGGCGATCGAAAGAGTAAGCTGTAAGCCTATAGTTACTTATTAAAAATGACTCGACCAAACAAAGTAAATGGCAAAAATAAATATGGTCAATACAGTTTAAAATAAATAGTAATTTAGGAAATTTCCTATTTAGAAAATTCATTTGTTACTTTTTTATTATTTTGTTTGAATTTTGCATTTTATTTCTGTTTCTTATTATTTTGTAGTCAAATTAACGATCGCCTTTGGTATATTTGATTCTTGACTTTTGGTGATGGAGGATGAGCAAAATGAGCGTTACCAAAACAAGCATTATCCATATGTGAGTGAATGACAATGAACATTTCGAATGCTTCTGATTCTTAAGCGACTTTCGGACTAGTTGACAACTGTTTTCTATGGCTCATCTTTTGATAACTCTGCATTTACTGCAATACGCACACACACACGCACTCTAAAACTGAAAAGGGTTGCATTAACATTACCAACGAATTTTGTATTTTCTAAAAGCTTTGATTACTCTTGTGGTGTTTTGGCTTGTTATTCTGGATTGTATCTGGGGTATCTCTTGTTTCTCGATGCGTGCCCAAAAAGCGAGAACTGAACTCAGGTTTGCGGTGCACTCTAAGGAGTGTGAACTGTACGATGGTTCCTGTTGTTTGTGTTCTGTGTGTGTGTTTGTGTGTGTGTGTGTGCAGGCAAGCGTTTTTGTTTTGTTTTTTAGCATCAGTGAGACTTACAAACACTGGGGCGGCCCACAAGTCGTATACGTAATATTTGGCTTACTCACTGAGCTTGGCTAGGAAAATCAAAAACAGTTAGGCTAAACAGCACACGACTCCTACTTTTCTCGTTTGGCTAACACTTTGACACGACTGCCTACGTGGCTAGGGGTTAATGTTTAATCGATTACATTTAGTTGGTCTCTATATATATGGGGGTGTAGCTGATTAGTACGATAATGAGATTAAATGACATGATTTATAGGAAAGTTATAGGGAGCCCTAGGTCTTGCGCAGGGTGAGGCTGACCAGCAGTACGCCCACGGCTAGATAATTACCATTGCTCTCGGATCGCGAATACGAGGGTCGGGTGTACGAGGGCAGATCGCTGGGATTGTTCAGCTCCTCGCCGCCCTGCGAGGCAATCGAGTTGGAATCGTAGCCGGAGGTGTCTCCGGGCAGGACAGTGGTCACTGCCGCCGGTGCGCTGTACACACTGGCCGATCGCATGCCAATGGCCGACCTCCAGTCGTTGGTGGTCACCGATGTGGTGATGGTTCCCATGGCAGGACCAATCCCTCCTCCTCCTGCTCCTGCTCCTGCACTGCTTATGCTGCTGATATTGGTGATGGCCGTCACACCACTGGCCTCGCCAGCCTCCGTAGCCGTGGCTCCTGTGTTCGTGGTTAGCGTATCCATGCGCGTGATGGTCTCCACCGAGGTGGTGCTGCCATAGTTGCCGTAGCTGGTCTTGTCCTTGCTCAGGGAACTGCTGAAGCTGTTCCTGTAGCCGCTGGAGCTGTTGGCATTGCTGCCGCCCACAGCCGCCACATTGGTGGGAGGTGGCGGCGGCGGACCCGCCGGCGGGGGCGGCGACTTGATGGCGTTGCCATTGCGATTGATCCGCGACGAGATCGATGAGGTCGACATCGATGAGGACGAGGAGGTGTGTATGCTGGCCGCACTGCCTTGCACCGACTTGTTGGGCGGCTCCTTGTCGAATGGGTTGACCCGTTCCTGCTGCTCATAGTTGGTCACCGGCTGGTAGCCGGCGCCCGCTCTATCCGTATCCGTATTTGTTGTACCGCTAATCGAAACGCTGCTGTCCGGCCGGGCGGCTGAGCTGGCCGCCGCCGATGGAACCGCTGGTGGCTCTTCGTTGGGCCGCTGTGTGGGCTGTGTCGAGATCACGCCCACGCCATCGCCCTTGCCGGCGAACGAGAACTGCTTGCCGAGGAAGGAGCCAGTGAATCCGCTGCCGCTGCCGCTCCCGCTCCCGCTCCCCGGTCCCGCGCTGCTGGGCACACTGCCCGGCCCGCTGCCGCCGCTCGTCTCGCTGGCCGTTCTGCCGCGCTTCTTGTTAGCGATTTCCTACATATCGCCAAAGATCCCCGCGAAGGTCTTCCTCAGGTTCTTCATGGTGTCCTCGGCGTCCTCCACCACGGAGCTCTGGGTCTGGGGCGGCCGCTGGCCCACCCGCGACACCGAGGAGGAGATGGTCGAGGCCTGCGAGGACTGCGAGTCGCGGCGCACCCCGCCCACCGTGCTGGGTCCCGAGGAGGAGGGCTCCTCCGGCAGCTCCGAGATGCTGCTGCGGCTGCTCAGGCGCCCGATGGAGCCGACCGCCGGCGAGGTGCGCTCCGGAATGGGTGGTGGTCCGCCCATGGGCGCTGGTCGTGGTCCGGCCGGGAGCGGCGGTGTGGGGGCCATGCCCTCGTCCGTGGGACTCTCAGCCCGCGAGGACACCGACGAGCGGGAGGGCAACTTGCCGGGTCCCGTTTGCGCCATGCTAGGACGGCACACATTCTGAAAGGAGGCAAATGGGATTAAATACATTGAAAAATTAATTAGAAAATTTGATCAACACTTGCGAACGCAATTAAGAATAATAAAATAGTTGGAACACAATTCAAATGAATTATAATTAAATAGTTTATTGAAAATTGAATATAGTAAATAAAGTTAATTTAAGCAATTTATTTTTTATATCTCTAAAAAGTTACAAAAATTATTTCAGTGCGAATTTTATAACTATAAACTTGCTAATCAGTATTACTTTTTTAATAATTAAATTTATTCTAATGTTTAAGCGACGTAAGTTGAAATTTTCACATTGAAGACTAACCTGCATGCGTCCAGATACCAGATCGGCGATCTGGCGGCGGTCATCCTCCTGGGTGTCTCCGATCAGGGCAAATGTGCTGTCGCAGGCGCTGATGATGTACTCGCGTCCATCTTTGGCCACCACCACGGACAGACCACACACTTCCATGCCGCCAAACAGCTCCGATATCTGAAAGTGATACGAGCGGCATTGCGATTAGAATCGCGATTGAGTCATGACCCTAAAATGTGTTTTCTATTGCAAAAGCGCAGTGAGACGGGAGTCGGCTCAAACATTTCTGAGTGGGCTTCCGCCGGTTTCCAGTGCCGGTTTTAATTACACAGTTTGTTTTGATTAAAGCTAACGCTAACGCTAATGCTGATGCTGATTCCGACTTGCCCAGAATCGCACTCACGTCGTCATAGGCCCACCCACTTATTATTGCACTTGGAAAAACAATTGGAAAACCTATATAAATACTAAGTTGATTTCTATAGCCTAAAAACTATCAGATATGCTGATTTTTTGAAAATATTTTCAGCATTGTTTTACTTTATTTTGGCCATGGTTTTTTGTACACAAAACAAACTATAAACAATACATTTCGTTTACCAAACATTTTAAATTCATTGATTTCCCCGCAGTGGTTATGAAAAATTAATTTTAAATTTCAAAATACTTTTCTCCGCATGTAACTAAAAACTGCAGCCGGCTTATCTAATGAATGAGGAATATTTGCGCCAGTAAAAGGCAATTAATTAATGCACATATACAGTGGCACTGGGTGAGTCAGCCGCGAGTCAAAGGAAATCGAGTTGAGCCAGCCATGGAGCGTTCGCATTGATAGAATGCCAAATCTGATGGGTTTCCCATGTATCCAAATGCTTGCACCTCATTTCAATTATGAGGCGCCCGACTGAAAAATTTGTTTGAACGCTGAAACTCCCGTTACCACATCGCTCATTGGCGGCTAAATCCGTTTAACTGTTTTTCGATTTGCATATGCATGAGCTCTAATTAAAGTTGTGCCGCCGCTTAAAGGCAATGCGAACGCGGCCGTCGTCTGACGTCAATCGAGTACGATTTCTGGTGCCTGGTTTATGTATCTATGTATGTATGCTGGTTCTCCTTTTGCCACCCCCTCAGGGAAAATCGGAAAGCAGCCGAAATCAAATTTTGTGCACCCAAAACGCCGCAAATAATTTAAAGCGATTTTCCTTAGCCATATTGATTGGCCAAATTTGATAAATGTGAACTGAACTCAACTGGCTAGACCGAGCTAAGCAGCTTGGGTCCAGATTTCCATGTCTTGGCTCAGAACTCGATGCTTAAAACGGCAAAGTCAGCGGGTTTGCCTTCAAATGCTCCAAATAGTGATTTCTTTACGTTTAAAAATGGATATAAAAATAAATATATGGCAAAAAGGGCAGTTGCCAAATTTGATTTTTAAATATGTATGCTGGTTACAATTTTATTTTTCGATTATTACAATTAATATTATCTGATCGTATATAGTAACTTAGCTCTGGAGAAAATTATTTTAAAAGTTAGTGAACTTTATTTACTCTATTAATTTTTGTACAGAAACTTATTTTTAACTTGCTTAAAGTATTTTATTTGGCATTTAAATAGTTAAATGACTTAAAGAAAAATTTTCAAAATGTAAAATTAAGCCATTAAGCCAATAAAACTCCCCCATTTTTGTTTATGTAGTGAACACCCAAAGTCGGTTAGGTTGCCTAACATTTACACCCAGTTTTATGTAGTGTACCATGGCTTCGATTCGATGACTTACCTCATCCACCCAGCTTTTGTACTTCTCGGTTAAAGTGATTTGCTCCAGCATGGCCGATCCTTGATTGGTCTTCCAATTGCCGGTGATGGATTTGCGCCTATTAAAGAGTGAAAACGGGTAAGCATGGCATAATAAATTAAGCGGCTAAAAAAGCGTAGATAATGCGTTGCCACACACGGATTGAGGGGCGAGAGATCTTTGAACCCGTTGCCGCTTTTCGGCCGGCAAACAATGAACTCTTGCCGCTGCACTTGGTCCGATAATTGCCAATTGCAGGGCGGTCGCTTTTGTCTGCTGACAGTTGCAGTCGCCACCAAGGTCAGACCACTCGACCCATCCGCATTGTGGCTTTTGAGCCGTCTGCGGCTTGTGCTGTTTGCGGTCACTTACATAAACGCCTTGTAGTTGTTGCCAATCTTCTGGATGTGCACGCTGAACTTGGCATCGATATAGGGCTCAATGGTACAGTAACAATGCGAGTCGTTACCGGCACCGCTCACCAATCCGGCGGCATCTTGCAGGGCGCTCTGGTTCTCCAGACGAGCGGTGGCCACGCCGCCATGGCAATGTCCAGCCTTCAGCACGCTGGGGAACTTCGTGAATTGGAACTGCAAGTGCACAGAGGAAAATGTACGATTAGCTTTAGATTTACAAAGAAAAATTATAAATATTTACACGAAAGCAGAGTGCCATTAATAGTTTTAAAGAACCTGTAGGATTTTCTATCGTTTGAGTACAAGGATATTTTTTAAAAACTTATAGTATATGTAACTAATATTAAATAACACGTGTAAATGCCCGTTGGCATGGTGAAATATATGAAGATTTGAAGCTCATTAATCTCGAAATATAGAGAGAATTTTGTTTTACTTAAACAAAGATTTTTAGATAATTAATGATTAATACATTTAACTTGTTATAAACTAAAGGGACTTTTAATAAATAAACTTAGTTTATTAAATTTAAATTATTTGCAGTAACTCTTTCTTTCCGTGTGATGAATAAAGATGCCGAGGCAATCACAATACGCATTTAGCTGTCTGATTCGAATTCTATAAATTACAATACGCCGACGATGGCACTCGAGCTCTTTCACTTTGCCATTTTATTTGATGCGGAAATCAAGAAAAAACCACAATCGAACGTCCGCTTATTAATTCATTGGATAAGTGCCAAATTGATTGGTTGTTTTTGCTTAAGTTCCGATTTCGAATCTGGCCATGGAAATTTGCTTTGATTTGCCTGGCCATTTCCCAGAATCCTCCATCGTTAGTCAGGCAGAGTGTATTTATTGAAAATGCCCTGCCGTTATTAATGGCGTATGCAAATATGCAAAAGCTACAAAGCCCTGCCCGCAAATATTTGACTAATTCGCATTTTATTAATTTTACAGCATTGCTCATGCTTACTACATTTCTATATGTAAATCGACAGGCGATTACCCTTGTTGATCATCATATTTAAACTGTTGATAAATCACAATTAAACACATGGGCTTAATGCAGTGCATTGGGAGAGGGTGAACTCTCGTAAATCAAAATAAAACAGAAAGGAAAACCAAAACAACAATGACGAAGCGCGAAGAATTGTCGCAATTGCCGCCGATGAGAGACAGTCGTGCTGACAGAAAAGCCAAACAGAGTGCGAGAAATCTCTCAATGAATATCTGCTATGGATGTGGGTTCGAGACTATGGATACTATAGAAGACTCTAGTCCCAGAATGAGACGTCACACCCCCACATTGCGGGCATTCTTGGAAGCTGCTACGTATTCCGCTTGAGTGCCCACTGTCTGAGGCCTGCTCTTCGGTTATATCAGCGAACTTTAAATATGCACTGTGACGCATCCGTAGCGTAGTGCCCGTGCCCTGATGCGGGAACGGGAACTGGTGGCATTTGTTTGATTGAGCGATATACGAGTGCACCTCGAAAAAAAGAAATCCACAAGTATAGGCCTTACATGGTCAATTACCACTGTAATAGGGCCATGAACTTACTGGATATATTTAAAAACTATTATTTAAGAAATTGCACAGCAAAACCCAACAAGTTAGACAGGCCTGTTCCGGTTTTCACTTTCAAACGTTACACTCGAAATCGATTTTATTTTGAAATCAGTGTTTTATTTAGCCAATAAAAATATAATATATACATTTAAAAAGAATTAAAATAAACATTTGTGCAAAGCGATTCGATTAAATCATTCGTAAGTGTAAATGGAACGGGTCTGGTAGAAAAAAAACACACTATTTGTTGTGTTTTTAATAATATTAATAATAATATTAATATTTTTCAAATTAAATTAAATTTTTAAACTCAGGATAAGAGTCGTATGCTATAACGTATGATAGTAATTTGTGAACAATTTAGATATTTTATTTTATAAGCTATCTATCAATAATTCAAATATAAGAAAAATGTATTTTACTTTATTACTTGTTCTTTTTTAATGACTTGATTGACATTTTTTCTCTCCGTGATTGGCTTCATAGATCTAGTGCGGTGGCGTTTGCGGGTCGGGAATGCAGATTATGGCAACGTGCTGTAGGTGGAGCATGAAGTATGAAGCATGACCGGAGAGGCAGCACGTGTGTGCGCCACATGGCCATAGGAAGTGGAAGTCGGATCGCCGGCGACTTTACATAGCTAAATTATTAGTTGATTTGCGACCTGACAGATGCGCTATTTTCTGCGGTTTCGTGTGGCGCTGCATCCTAATAAACTTTTCTCTTTTTCGTACTAAAAGTGGCGCCAAGTATCTATGAGTATGTTGTATGTTGCCAATGGCCGGCAGCATAAACCAGGCCCCTGCACGCAATTAATAAAGCTGCCAAGGTAAAATAATGCAACAAAAAATGCAATCGACTCTCCTCCACTCACTTTCCACTCATTTACGGGGAATTTATGGTGCTTTTGATCGTCCGACCGCCGCGAGAAACACTCAAACTATTTTGACTCAGTCGATCCGATCCGATCTCTCACTTCCCGAACAACTTGAGTGAGATTTGCTCGCTGTTCGGGCTTGGGGCCTTCGTGCGGTTAAGAAAACAGACGAATCGGTTGACTTGGCGATCCAGTGCAGAACCGCAAGCCCAACGAGCTAGAACGCCACAAAGTCGACGGCGGAGAAATCGCGAGATCGGGAATATATAGTATCAAGTGCAGTCGAGTCGAGTCGAGACGAGTGCGAGTGCCGGTGAAAATACATTGCCCAGTTTTTCCCTATTTTTGTGCCATTGAGTTTAAGTGTTCAAGCTACAGAAGTGCAAATTATCCCCACTAAATAGGTTGCTGCTGGAAGTTAAACATATAAAAGGTTTGTGTTGCTTTTTTTTTACTTGTAAATGACATAAGTTTAAAATGTTAATTAATTCCATTAATTTCCGTGTTGTGTCAAATGTTGAAAAGGCCAAATTGAATTTAAATTTCATTTTCTTGGGCTTATTTAAAGACCACAAAACAAATGTTTTTAGCTTTACCTCACTTTCAAAAGGCTTAAAAAAATTAGCAAGCCATATTCATAGTTACCTAACATGCAACTTTCTTATCAAAAAATTAAAACCTCAAAGGCTAAAGTGTTATACCTTTTTTTGTATTTTTTAAAATTTTAATTAAATAAAAATAAAAATAATTTCTATTTATAATATTTTTAATTTATAATTAATTAATTTATATTTTCCATAAAACATGTTGCCCAAAGGCTAAGTTACAGAGTCAAGTCAACTCAACTTTGTTTTAGTGTTAGAGTTGTTTGGCATTTAGAAGACTCAAATTGAAGGTATGCAAAACGCGCGATACAGACGCGTTTTTCGGGCTATTTAAAACGCGCGCTGGGAAATGTGGCGACGTTGACACAGCGACACAGTTTTCCACCCAAACGCTCACTCACACTGCCGTAGATCCCTCTATTTATTTGCGTTTATTTATAATTTGTTTTTATTTGCCTGCCTCCCTTGCTCTTTTGGAGCAGCCCGAGTTTTCTTCTGGCCTTTCGATTTGTCTTAATAGTTTTTAATGTCGCCAATTTGTAAACAAACTGCAGCCATTAAAGAATATACAAGTCGTTGTGCAATGTCGTCTGATCGTAAAGCCCTGCCATATCAGTGATGTATAAGCAACAAATTTGTTGGATGTCAAGGAAAGTAACGCGTGTGCGTGTGTGTGCTGTAGGTATTTCCATATTACGCATACGTAATGTGTGTTTTGGCATTGGCCATTTAATGTCTAAAAATATGAAAACACATTAAATGATTCGACGGCTACCACATAAAACCCATAAAAATGTACAAGCGAATCTCGAGGGGAAACAAGCTGCCCGAGGGAAATGCGTGGAAATGCATTTTTGAAGTGCTTTTCCATTCCCCTTTCTCTTGCATTGTGTTCTCTTGTCACGGCAACTCACATTGTTTCGCCTGGATATTCATAATTTTTCCTTCATTTGACTTTGGCTTTACTGTTGACTGTTCGTTGTTTGTGCGCCATTTAAATGAGTTTGCATTTGTATTGGCTTTCTGCTTTTCTGGGAAATGTTCGGCGTAATGCTATGCTGACATTTATTTTGACTTCATCTGGCAGATAACAATGTGGTGTTGTTATCGTAGTTAAACTTAACTGTTAAAGTGTGCTAATTTTAGTATTGAATTTATTGTTTGCTTTCCCATTGCATTTATGGCCATATGGCAACAGCTTATTGGGGATGAGAAAACCGGGTTAGTAGGCTGCACAGCAATAAATTAATTTTCATAAATTTACTTGAATAAAGGCCTTTCTATGACTGAGAACTAAGATGAGTCCTAATAAAATATTAATTTTTGTTATTTCCCTGTATTTTGCATGCCTTTTGTAAAAGTTAATAATGCTGTAAACAGAGTTTCATGTTTTATATAATCAACAACCTTATTTCCAGCGGTTTTTTTAGCACAGGCAATTTGTCATGAATTTATTGAGAAGCGAATGAAGGACATATAATACATCTAAATCATGTGTCTGTGTAGGGTGTGCATTACCAGAAATATTAATACCCCCTATAAGGCTTTGTAAATGGAATACAGCAAATTATACATGTTGAAATCGATATGTTAATTTCTTTATATATAGGTTACCCATTTCAACAATTCCGAGAATGTGAATTCGATCAATGTGGTGGCTGCTCTACTAAGATTTCGCATTGAACATAGCCCGCAAAACAATAAAAGCCACAAAGCCAGGCAAATAAAATTGTCATAACCAGCGATTGTGACTTTTCCCTCGCACATCATTCGGTTTCCCTTATTTGGCGCATGCTTTTAAGCCCCCAAAAAAGTCTGGCAGACATTTCGACTTATAAGGCTGCCGATACAGATACATTGGGTTGGGATTGTTTATGCCTTCACACTTGCCTGACTTTTTCGGTCGACACACCCACATTCGGCTCATCCCGGGCCCATTAATAATTTTCTTGTGCAAATCTTGCAATTAAATATTATTGTACAATTAAGAAGAAATGCTGCAACCAGCGACACCGTGACAAAGAGCATTTGGTATGCCTTTCCATTAATAACATTTTTCTCCTGTTTATTGCGTAAATTTCACGAGTCAGGCGGCAATTTATTGACAATGATTTCTGGCCCCAGAGTTCCTCCATTTGTGTGTGGGCCAGAGGCCGTCAATTTGTCAGATTGCCTGCCGCTTTTCTGGTCCTTTTCTTAATGTCTTTAACAAGATCTGTCACCCGGCATGAATGAAGCTTGTTATGCTGAAATAAATCACCCAACTTGACGAAAGGCGATTCGGTATTGTCACAGAAAATCGCTTTAATATTTAATTGAACTGGGTTGTTTGAGCAGTTTATTGATTTTTATGCAAATTTAGCTTATTGATAACGTAGAGCGAGGCCACACACACTGTAGTCCATTGTATTCCAGTCCCCCCACAACAATATTATTTGCAAACATGCATATGTTTATTTAGCGGCCCCATATCCACATGCTTTGGGTTTTGCTCATTAAAGATTTATATTTTTATGGCCCAGCCCATGCAATGTGAGTCCACAGACCAGCCGCAGACCTTTGGATTCTCCAGATGTGCAGGACTCTTGTTTTCCCCCCGCCGACGCATTTGCATTTTTAATTGAATTTTCGTTACGCATCCTGGGCGAAGTGTTTGTTTATTTGGTTGAGCCGACGTCAGCCACCGCCTTTCGCCGCCAGACAATTTGTGTCATAAGTTAAGCAATTTGTGCCGTTACTGTTTCGCTTTTTAATTTTGGGCTTAAAGCGAAATCCCAAAGAACGTGACGAATTTGGGATTGCAATTTTTGTTTGTTTTCACCACTGCATCGAGTGGCCAAATGAGAGGAGCTGCGTAAGACTTATTTTCGGCGCAATGATGTCAGAATCGCTGGCATACTTGTGCATGGGTTAATGAGGCGCAAGGCAATAAAAATTCCGAGCATAGTTGTCTGCCAGACGGGGTTTCGTCACACCTGAATAGAGCTGTCAACCGGGTAGCCATTGCATCTCATCATCATCAGCAGCAGCTCTTGGCAGCTGGCGATTCAATTAGAAGCAGCATTACGACGAGTGGTTCTTATCAGTCTCGGATTCCGGGGCTTAATTATGTACCATGCCACGGGCTTTGTCAGGTGTCGCTAAGTGCTTGTAAATGCCAATAGCTGGATCTCTATCGCCGCCGAGTTGGAAATGCATTTGGATTTGCCAATCTCGCCGCACAGCAAACATTGCAGGTCAGGGATCAAGCTGCGGCATTAATCAAAAAACACTGTGGCCCCTTTGTTTGGGCCGCATTGATCATGCTGATTATGGCATTGCCCATTGCCCGATCGTGACTTTGATATTTCTCCTTCAATTTTCCCTCATTGTTGCAAAGGCTGCCGACAAAGGAAAATGTATCCAACTGAATGCCGCTGGCCAAAGAAAGTTTTCCAGCATCGTTATGAAAATTGGCAGAAATGCAGAGACTTCGAGGCTTTTGGGTTCCCCATTTGAATTTGTTTTCCCGGTTGCAAGGCAAACATTTGTTTAATTTAATTAAAAGATATCTTGTGTTCAGGGATTTTGCTGATAATTTGTTATCTCCATCGTCCCAAGAATGCGACATCATCTTGTTGTAATGTTGTGCGAATACTGCAAAAATCAAATTCCAATACCGCGCAGTACTGCGCAGTTTGATCCCATAGCAAACCCATTCCCGACTGTTTAGAAAGTCAATCAGCAATAACAAACAAACATAAACGAATTGCCACAAAAAGCAGTATCGAAAAGTAAATGACCGCTGAATAAAAGCGAGCCAGAACAATGACATTCGATCAGAATTTTGGTTACTCAGTAGATAAAATTATATATCAAGTTTATCGTTTTTTTTAAATTTAAATGAAACTAAAAATTGTTCAGTAAAACTATTTAACCTAAGTGCAAAAGTTTCCAGATTTGACGTTCTAAATTAAACAACTCGTAAATACTAAATACTAAATGGAACGAAAACACTCTACATGTTATATCAGCAATAAGAAGTTTAAAATGTTAATACAATAAATCTTATGTAAACTTCACACTGTGCACTATTATCTTATATCTTTAATAGACGTTTATATATATAGCCGTAGGGCACGTTTGTAAATCTGTGACAATTTGCATACGAATTAACAGCAGTGGATCGCTTTTACAAGTAGGTGTAATTCAGAAAAATCTTTGTTATCTAAGACTGAGTAAAGTGTTATGAAGTGATCCCATTAAACACAATACGCTAATTAAATATGCATATCCACAGATCCATGGAAAAACGATCCGAGCAGTTCCTATAAGACACATTTTTATGGCTCTTTCGAAGCGCAAAATATCAGGCATCGTAAATTGGAGAACGTGCGCTGCAATATAGGCGTAAGATCCGAAAGTTATAAATAGGTTTTATGTCGATGCATTTGGCCTATTGTTTTGTGGAGTACTGCTGGCTGTCAATAGTTTTGTGGGTCCATATCCACACCCATTACCCTCTACTAATGGCCCCAATTAAGTGCTCATAAACCAAAAACCTCTCTCTATAAATAACTTGCATAGGCCATCCCAAATTTTTGAAAGCACCCAGCAGCCACCAAAATCGCATTAATTATGTGGCTTTTGCTGCTGAGCCATTTTGGCGCAGTTTTCAACCGTCGTCGGTCAACCCAAAAAAAAAAAAAAAGGCAGACCAAACCGAAAGCGCTTCAGCTTGCAAGCCAGAAAATCCTTTTTGTGTACTTCTTTTTTATTTATTTTTATTTTTGGGCTCTACTTTTTTTCATGTCTGACCTTAGCAAATCCCTTTCAATTCACCTGGGAAATCTCTCTGTCTGCTTGTCTGGGCAAGTGTTAATCATAAAATTTGCATAATACCAAATGGGCTATGCTTATAGGCATGACTTAACATTTACGAAGCTGTAATGGGAATTCAAGTATACAAATTGTAAGCAATGAATATTATTATGGGAATTTAAGTTTAGCTATTTGGATGTCTATAAAGTATATTTTTCGTAGCAACATTAAATAAAAATTATCTTTAATGCAGAAAATCAAATTATTAATTAAACTACAACCATTTTCCTCTATTTATTCACTCTCCAGTTTTTGTTTAGGACTTCTAAAATTCTTTAGTGTCGATATATCAAGTATTTCTTATGCGCATTTTAGAAATTTTTAATTGAATTATGTACCAATTCTGTTCCACTAAAAAATTCCATGTTTGTCAATAATAATTGCCCATTTTGTTGTGGCCGACATTCTTTAAGTGGCCCGGGGGCACAGTGGAAATCAATACCAATTGAACTCGATCCAATATTTGAGTTAATATCTTTTGAAATTCTTGATGTTTTTTTTTGTTGGCCCGCATAAGTGGATTGCAGCCACTCGAAATGGAAACCAGTGTCAAATGTCAACATCGATGATGGTGACGACACAGGAACTTCGGAGCAGACAAGAGCGGCAGCGGCCAACAAGTGTGTCAATTAGACGAGGCGCGAAGTGACGTCAAATGCGGCACACGTCCGGGTGTGTGTGAGTGGCCGCCGTGTGCCATAATATATAACATTTAATTGACATGTGTTAAGCTTGTCAACAAACACGGGGAGCATTTTCCGACCGAACGGAAAACAAAAACGAGAAACACCGATCCAAAACTCCGTGGACAGGCCTTTGCTGCAGCTTTAAACTATGCCTGCGTGATGTGATATATGGCCACGCTAATTGTGCATTCAGACATGGGTGCATATATAAATAAAGCGACATGTGTATGCCTGTGGGGGAAAAGGAGTCCCAATGAAATCGTGCGAATTTGCATCGCCTCTAAAACGCTTTTCTTGCTGCCAATTGGCTCTCAAGTTGATTTATCTGCTAAACGCCGATGACGTTTTCGGAGTGTGTGTGCCACTTTTTGTTGCTCCTTGGCCGGCTGTTTGTTTGTGTTTTGTTTTTCCCCAATACTCTTGCTAGTACGGTGTTGTCGGCCTGTTTGTTAAACAAATCCGCGCCGTTAATTGCCGGGCAAAGTGTCACAGCGTCAGGGAAAGAAAAGTCAGCCAGACATGCTGCGCTTTCCGTCTACTAAAAATTCTCCCATGACATTGCGACACAGTCACTATGTTTCCCACCCTCTATATATACATATTTCTTGACGCTCTGGGAAAAACTCTCTTACTAGAACCACTTTAATAAGATGAAATATTTTAATTAATGAAGTTTCAATTAATTATATTAAATGGTGCGCTGGCGAGAATAGCTATATAAATCACTTGGGGAAAAAACTTTGCTTTTAACAAGTATCCGTTTACAAGCAAATGGCAAAAAAATATACAATTAAGCAATTCAAAAAAATATATATTATAAAAATAAGTCAAATTTTGATCTGCGTTTGCATTTATATTTATTTAATATCATGCAAAGAGTTATGAAAATAGTTTCAGGTGTGCTCTTTGTGTTGTCATCAAAGATTCAATGTCAGCAATATTCCGTGTCAGTTTTTTTTGCTTAATTGTTTTCTTTTTTTACAATTTTAGCTAACTAACTAACTAAAAAAAATCAAGAAACACCATCCAAAAAAGAAAAGCTTAATAATTAAAAACATTTTTATGAAAGAGGTCATCAAATCTTTCAGTTCTTGATTTCCAAAATGTGATATCTCTTTTGACTGATTTTTAGCCTGTGTGTGTTCCAGTTTAACCCATTAGTGAGCGCGTCTGCTTGTCTGGCCGCCACTTGGGCTGCCACTTAATAAATAGTTTGATGCATTACTCCTGCCTGATGGCTTGCATTCAATCAATAGCTCGCGACCCCGCCACCCGGTAATTCACCCTCCCAACGATTCACGCATGCAGGTCTGCCCATCGGTTTCCCATCGTTTCGCCGCGCCCACAGGGTGCGTGTGTTTTCCAGTGGCTTTTCCGCAAAATGCTTTTAATTCAATTTTTATTCCAATTTAATTGCCACATTGCCGGGCTGCGTAGCTGCCGGGTTGTGGACTTCGTGGAGCCGGAATCGGGAGCCGCGAGGGCGGGAAATCGGGATAGATAGGCGCTGGTGTGCATATGGCCATAGGTCTGTCTATATGGGACCTGACTATCTGCGGCGATCAGTTCGACAACAACGCTGAATCGGGAGCTGCAGCTGATTGCCTTGCCTTTTCCACTCTCGATATTATACAATATTTTTGCTTTAATATACATGCATGTCTGTGGGCATATAGTGTGCGCGTTTGTTGTGCATCTATCGTGTGGTATCGCATCGATATGCGGTATAGCATCGGTTTTGTAATGGATTTCGTTTTGTGCGTCTCAAGTTTTCTATGAATTTCCCATAAACAATTTTCAATTGAAATGCCCGGCAATTGAACTACTTTTGTGCGATTTATGCCTTCTAAATTGACTGCTGAATCGTCTTTGCGTAAGTCTGAAATAAAATATTGATGAAAGAAAAATATGGCTTGAGGCTCAGCCCAATCCAATCTAAGTAGAATAAAGATGGATGGGAATGCCAGTCAAGTGCTTTGCCCATAATGCTCTTGATGATCCCAGCTTGTGCGTGCGTGTTTTTGTGACAGAAGGCGCGATTAATTGCTGACACACAGGGCGTATGTGTAATGTATTAAATGCATAATTGAGCAGTGGATTGATGGCTCGATTGATGGAAGGCTGCCTGCCTGGCCTCCATTGATAAGGCGAATGACATAAATAAGATAGACATAATTAAACTCTATCAGTGACCTTCACCACAAAAGCCATTATATGCGTTTTCCCATTAAATCATTGTCGTGAACGTCAAAAGCAATCTCAATTTTCCTCATTTTCCGCTTCTCTTACAGTAATCTTGGGGGACTCACTGGCGGCGACATAAAGCCATTTTATCTGTTCGCAAACCCGTGCAGCCATGGATTTTAGAAAGCATTTGGGTTTATTGACACTCGTCCTGGCCGCCGTTCTCGCGTTTTACGGGCGCCCAGCGGACGCCTGCAGTTGCATGCCCGCTCACCCACAGACGCACTTCTCCCAGGCGGACTACGGTAAGTAGGAGCTCACCCACCGGAGAATTCAATAAATAAATGCCAACGCTTCCTTGACAGTTGTGCAACTGCGAGTCCTCCGCAAATCAGACACCATAGAGCCGGGCAAGACCACCTACAAAGTTCACATCAAGCGCACCTACAAGGTAAGCAACATCCCTTCAAATACTTTGCAAACGGATTGCTTGTGAACTGTTACTGAATATTGAAATTGCTTCGTTTATGATACAGAATCAAGTTAAATTAGTTAGCCTTGCAAAACGTTCAAAAATAAATTGTTATTAAACACGACTTGAGTTGCTTACTATTTTCTAAAAATCTAGTTAAAATCGTTCTACATCTAGGCACGTATTAATTCTCATGGTGCATTTCATGGCACGTTTAAATTATATGTAATTGAAAACAAAACGCTTCTGAAAATATGTGATACACCAAAATAAAGTAGGGGCTTAAAAGTTGTATTTTTCAATGGAGCACAATATGATAGTAATTTAATATTCTTCTGTTTGAAAAAAAAAGTTAATAACAAGTTTCTGTATTAAAATGTAAGCCTTACTCAGGTCAAAATTAATTACTGTAAAAAAAAGGAGCGAAAATATAAATTTAAGTGATTTGTTATTAGAAAGTTAAGGAGAAACTTATTACTTTCTGAAAAGTAAATATAAACCAAATGACCTATTTTTTAATCATTTTAAAATGATGGTACCCAAGTCAAAAAATTAATTGCAATTAAAATATTTTGTATTTTAGGCAACTCCCGAGGCGCGACGAATGCTGCGCGATGGTCGCCTGGCCACGCCCCGCGATGACGGGATGTGCGGGATCAAGCTGGACCTCGGCAAGGTCTATATCGTGGCGGGCAGGATGCCGACGCTGACCATTTGCAGCTACTACAAGGAGTACACCAAGATGACCATCACGGAGCGCCACGGCTTCAGCGGCGGCTATGCCAAGGCCACTAGTTGCGCAGTAAGTCAAGCGTAAAACCAGCCAATTTTGAATTTGAATGTATTGTGGTTTCTGCCAGGTTGTTCCCTGCTTCGGGGCACGATGCTTTAAGTTCCACCCTCATGCGGACGAGTGCAAGTGGTCGCCCTTTGGAAAATGCGAGACGGACTACAGCGCCTGCATGCCGCACAAAGTGCAGACGGCCAATGGAGTGATTTCCCGATGCCGCTGGCGACGCACGCAGCTGTACAAAAAGTGCCTGAGCAATCCATAAAGCACCCAGACTTTAATCCCCCACTCCGCTCCCTTGTTATGTTCCCGTTTCTCTCTGTCCAGAGCTTTAATACGTACGTTATGGCTAATGTGTTATTTATTAATTGATGCTTTCGAACTTGTAACCGGCTCTGTAGCAGCTACTTAATTAGTGTCTAGCTTATAATGTTTATACCGTGTACACTTACCAAATCGCGTGGATTGGGGAAGAAGGTCTGTTCGATCAGCGGGAAGCCATCGCGTCCGAGGCGCCGTTGCAGTTGCAGCAGATGCGAGAAGACCCAGGGCTTGTCCTTCACAATCATGAAAGCAGAAGAAATCCATTTGAGTCGGCATCCAACAAATCAAGGTGTCCACCACTTACCTGAAACTGGTAGATCGAGTGCAGTGAGTTGATGCTGGGCACTCCGCCGTACTTTAAGCCCAAGATCGTGGAGCGGAAGTCGCTGGATCCGTCGCGTGGCGGCTGGCGAATCAGGACAAAGTCCGGCCGAAAGGAACGCGCCACCTGTTTTGGTGCGATATTCCAAAAAAAATGTAAGAATAATTGATAAAGCGAAAATTTACCTAGCTTCTAGAATAACAAACGCTGGAAATACTTTTTTGTAATTTTTAAAAACGAAAAATACATAAAAATAATAAAATTAAGATATTTTCTGGAGTCGGAATTATTTTATTATTTTATGACCTTTCCCAACTTTAAATTTATCTTAGTTTCACAGTCCCTTTAATCGAACTTATAATAAACTGGCGCCATCTGTCGCCTAGTAGCTAAAAATACCTAATACATGTTTTAGTAGCATACTTTTGGGATCCATTCGTTGTGAACAATAAAATTTTAAATTGCTAGCCCATGAAATGTTAAGATTTGACCAATTTATTATAATATAATACCACTAGCTAAATAATTTTTGAAACCAAGCACTACAGGTTTATTAGACGAAAACCAACACACATTTCACTTGAGTAAAATAAAATACATATTTTTTGTGTTTAAGAACACTTCAACACGTAATACAGCTGGCGTCTAATTTCCTGACAGACACAAGTGTGTCATAGTGGGCATTTGCATTTGTATTTTCGCCCAGCTACAAGTGTTTTTATTGCAACTGGAACACGCAATTGCAATAGCAGCAGCATCGTAAAGTCCACAAAACGACTTCAAATAAACAAATGGAAATAGAGCGCTAGAGTGTCGAGCTGCGCAAATACGGGAAAAGGGACAAAAGCTGCCGATAAACCAGCTAGTTCTTTAGTGTTTATTGGGCGCCACCAATATATAGATGGACATCCACCCACGTCCTTGGGCCAGTCGCTTTTGAAATCTCCAATTACTTTGCAGAGCACTGGTGAACAATCTAACCGCCGTCTGAGATGTTGGATCTACGACTACTGGTCACTGTAATTGCACTAATTAAGTGCAAACAACCCAGGTGAGCACACTGCGAAAAACGATTACAGTATTCAGTATTCAGTTTCAGTATTCTTATTTTGAAAAATGTATAACTGTTGTTAAATGATTACTAAATAATTTATCTGTTTTGCATTACTCTTGTGCTGGCCTAAAAGTTGAATGACTTAGTTTTTGGGAATTCGAAACTAGGCTCCATTATTTTGCCAGTGCATTAGATAACTTACCCGAGTGCCACTGCGATAAGCAGCCATGGTGACAACCGGTCCAGTGTCGGCACTGGAGACCACCGTAATGTCCTGCAAAGGACTCACAGTAATTAGCCCTATTATAGGTTGAGAAATGGGAAGGTAAAGGCACTTGCCCTAAACTCGGCCTGCTCCACTCGGATGTCGAAGTCTCCGTGCAATCGCCTGCCCCGGAAGTACTTGGACCAGTCCGTGTTCTGGTCATCCAAAACCAGCAGCGTGAAGTACTTGTCCTTGGTGAAGGCCGGTGCCCGTTGTGTGGCGCTCTGAACCGCAGCTCCTGTTGTGGGTTAAATGTCATTCCTTGCCCAGAGACCATTTAGCAGTTCCTACACTCAGAAAAAAAAACGACTCCACGAGTCCTTTTTATTGGCTATGCATTCTTTATGAATATATAACTATGCGGTTTTAATAACTCTTTATAAAACCTATATTATTTGAAGTTAGTTTTTGGTTCATTGGTTTTTCGTTTATAAATGGATACGATTGCTTTAATACGCACAACCTTTACAACTTCTTAAAAAGCCTTCTAAAATTAGGATAATATTACTAAAGGTATGCAATGGACTAAAAAACAAGCATTTACCAGGCTAATTTACTAATAAAATATATTTTCTAAAGTGATCAACAGATATAGGATTGTTCAAAGATTTATGTTTTCTCAACTTTTTTTTTATGGTTATAGGTAGTTCATATATGTTATGAATGAGATAAAAACAAATAGGTTTAGCTACAATGCTATGTCCAAGGATGTCATGACACTGGGTGACTTGTAATTTTTTCTGAGTGTAGTCTGCCTGCCAAGCATACCCAAAATGGAGGCTCCCTGATCCCGGGCAGCGCCGGTCAAGCTCTGCACCCGCTGCAGCAGGCTTTCACGCGACTTGGCCGGACTGGTCGGCGCACTGACACCCCGGGGTGGTGCGGGGGCCGCGGTCGCAGGCCCCTTGCCGGCGCCAAAGCTCAGCGACAGCTCCGGAGCAGCTCCGGCCGGTTGGCCGGGAGCCGGCGGTGGCGGCATGCTCGGCGGTCCGCCGGCGACCGGCGGCTTCGTCGGCTGATCCTGGATGGGACGGGCCGCCGGCGGCAGGCTGTTCGGATCGACATCGTCTACCTCGGAAGACAAGTCTCCCGAGCTGAATCTGTTAGTAGTTGTGTGGTGTGGTGTGTTGTGGTGTGGTGTGGTTGTGTGTTCGAGAGTGGTGTACGGGGTATTCGTTTGGTTGATCGATTGGTTCGGTGGTTTCCCAACCGTCAGACAAGTAGACAGGTTAAATGGTGCAGCGCAATCGAATGGGGTAGGATGAGATACAAACAAATGGGGCGGCACAAAATACCGCCGGAGAAGAAACACACACAGAGGGAGAGAGAGAGAGAAATAGACGAACATATGAAATTTCAAATTAGTTTCGTTCAACTGGGCCCCGCCCGGGGGCACTTCCATTTTTAAGGTCTTTACCTTCTCTTCAGGAAATTAACATTGGAAGTGAAGCTTGATTTGAACGACGAGAAATTCAGGGTGCTGCTTTTCGGCTCCTTCGATCCGCGGCACGCCAAAAAACATTAAACAAAAAAACACAAAGTAGAGTTGATTTGATTGGCTTTCGGTTAATTAGCTAGAGTGTTTTTAATTTTGAGCATTCATAAGGATTTCTGATATGTATAGTGCATAGACATTAAACATTAAGGCATACAGTAATTTAAAGCGTCTCACAAACATAAAATAAGGCATTTAGTAGATATGCTTGTCCGTTTATTTAACTTAGCAAATCAAATTCTGTGGACTAACTATTCCAAAGTTTTCACTTTAAACCTTTTTCACTTAAAAATTTTGACTTATTGAGTTACTAAGCTCCGCCTATGTGGCGTATGAGCAATGTGGTCACTTCGAATGTGCATTTTCACAGTGAAAGATGGTAAAAATCGTAAAAAACATTACACGGTCGTAATGTAATGTACTGAAGTGAGGGAAGAACTCATTTCAAATTTCATATGTCAGCTGGTTTGTAACGATTAGTAAATTTGCATTTCAGGAACTCTCCTGCCTTATATTAGACTTCACTTACAGAACTGTCGGAGTAATGAGTTTAATAGACCATAATATTGCAAAAGTAGCATTTGCTTTTACGAAAGTGTCGTGAGTGTGTGGTATAAAAGGATGCGTATAGTTGAAGAGCGGACAGAGAGAGTCGGTCTAAGTGAAAGCTAAAGTTTCATTAAAAAACAAGGCTATTAAGGTGGCTTAAACTAAACTTTAATTAAAATAAGCACCACAAAGGAAACATAAAAACGAACGGCTTATGGGCATGAGGGTAAAATCGAGCTGATGGCAACAGGTGCACGTAGCAAGGACATTTAAGGACAATGGCCAGCGAGTGGAAATTGCATAGCAGCACATATAGCTATTATATTTCCAAGAATCTTTTGTGCGGCACAAAACGGCAGAAATCAATCGGATGTTAAAATGCGGGAAAGGGGACTGGCTGTTCGGGCCATGTCAACAATGTCAAACACTTGTGGCCAAAACGGCGAAGTGTGTTTTGTGTTTATTGTCGTGGCCCGCAGGCCTTCAGACACTTGAAACTTTTCAGCCCCTATATTATAATGTTTGTGGTCCCAAGTACACACAAAAATACTCGACCGCCTGTGGGGCAATTTGTGTTTATGCGAAAAGGTTTGTGCGGCCAGCTCGGTGCGAAAATAAAAGATGAAAAACTGAAAAGCAATTTGTTGATGAAAGCGAAGCAAGTACGTGAGTGTGGCATATGATTCAAGTGATATCAGTGCGTGCCAGAGCCAAGCTGATGTGAGTTCAGAGTTCAGAGTTATGGGTTCTGAAAGAGGACATTTCGGAACAGTCTTACCGGTGGCGGGGCGCAGATTCGCCCACACCCAGCAGTTGCAATGGCGCTAATATTGACAGTGGTCGACAATTAAGTCGAGCAGTTGGCCTCCGTTCTCGCTGGGTCTGGCTTCGTTCCTACAGCGAATATCTGACTATACCGGCGCTTTTTTAAATCTGAAATTAACGGAGATCGAGTTTTTACTCAATAAACTGTGATCTGAAATTATTATTATATTGCTCCTTTTATTGATTGTATTCTGTAAACATATCCTTCAAAATAACAATTAAACACAACTTAAGTTTATATTGTATGTAAAAGAAACTTAATTTTAATATAAAGCAATTCCCTTTCCATAGTATGTATTTAGCATTTAATGTTTAAAATATAAACAAAGGTATAAAAGCCATTGGATTGGGAATCCCTATTGGAAGTCTAGATAAAGTTCAGCTAAGATTTTCGCATGCAACTAGAAGTATACAAAATATTTTATTATATAAGTTTTAAAATCCTTAAAGATTTTTACTCCACTGATTCTTAAAGTAAACCATTCCGCGCGCACCTGTTCCCAGCCAAATTTAAGTTGGAAACCCTTTTATTCATCTCTCTCGGTTACTTTTCGCCAAAACATGCACAGAAATAAAAAGAGTAAACACAAAGAGCAAATCAACTGAGACAGCTATCAAGCGGAGGATGTCCAGGCAACTGGACGACTGGATGGCTGAATGAATGGGTGAGCGACTGCGACTGGTTGCCATCCCAAGGGACAACTGGCTGTCGCTGTTGCCTTTGTTGCTGTTTTTGCTGCCAACTGCTTGCCAAGCCAAACATTGTTTTTGGTTCATTGCACTGGCCGCTATCTAGGACATGACATACAAATATACAAACAACCCACACACACAGAATCACAAACACATCCCCGGGCCATAAAGGGGAAACAAATCTCAAACGTTTGTGGCAAACTAACCAAAAGTTGTATGTAAATAACACCTAAACAAATCAGCAAGCGCAACCATTTTTTTTTCCTGTGGTTCCGCCTAAGTACGGGAAAATTGCGTTAATGGGTCCCATGGGGTCTGTGAAATGCTGATTCACTTATCATAACTAATATACTCAAGGCGATTGTGCAACTTTTCGTAGCCTACTTTCCGGCAGAGCTTGTGGGTCGTGCGAAATGAAGTCGCGTGTTAAGAGTTGAGGATGTCCTTGCTGGTCCAAGGAGATGCACATACATTGTTGAAGTTCATTACAAAGTCAAAAGTAAGAACTTTTTCGATAATAAAATCGGAAAAGCCCAGCCATCTTGCCATTGATGACATAAGCTCTAATAATGAGTTGTTGTAACTAAGTAGATTACGTATACGCAGGGGACGCCGCTCAGTCTGCGACTTACTTTGCGTCCACGTCCACCAACACAGCTCAGCTGAGCCAAGCTCTTCTTCGTCCCAGAAGCTGGGCAAAAGTTGCACTTGCCACCACAGACAGGTCCGACATTTGGCATTTTCCTGTTCGTGGCCCTTAAATGTCAAAGTTCAGCGCACGACAGTGACATGCTAACTCGCAGGCAGGCAGACTAACAAGATTTTTTGGTAATCGATATCATTATTGATGGCCCCGATTCTGTTTGTTTTGCCTACCAAAATAGCAATGACTACGCGATTTTGATTAACTTATTTGGCCAAGCTTCAGTCATTCACAATTATCCTGCAGATTGAGCCTCGTTAGTTGCCAAATTAAGTTGGGCAGGCAGAACATAACTTTTTGGCATTTCTTACATAATTCAAAAGAGTCTAGCATCGAGATACTTGTTTTGCGTCTGGTGGATTGTCAGTAAAACTATGTGTTTGCTATATATTCTCATGCGCCATGTTGTCTGAGAGGCCCTTTTCCCACTACCTCTGCCTCCCCCCGTTTTTGTGTGTGTGAAAACTTTTTGAATTAATAATCATAGTAACGTGTTGAGGGTCTCGGCTGTCGGACGCCCCTTTTTCGGAGGCTTGGAACTTCTCTCGACTGTTTGCCCGCAACTTTTTGGTAGCCAGCACAAATCTGTGCCGGAAAAAGTTTATGGCCCGACTTAACCCCCATCTAGTGGGTGGTTCAGGTTATTATGCTGGGCCGCTGTTGCACCACAATCCATCAACGTCGGTGGCAAATTAAAGTTCTTTTTTATGGCAGCTTAAGCAGTTGCACTTTCTGTCAACTACTTATATAAACTGTAATGCGAGATAGGGGAAAAGCGAACTGGGCGAAAAGGAAACTCCAACCGGAGTTACAGCACCTGCAGCCACATTTAACCCATTTTTCAGTGGCATTCCCCCGCCAGACCGCATTGTGCTGATATGTGCGTTGGCTTGTCATAAAACAGGGCTTAATGTCTTTTCGATGGTAATTAAAAATGCCAACCATTTGAGTCTGTTCAGTGGCGCTGACTCACGCAAATTGTGACAGCTATTTCCGTTCGGGTTCAAAGACTTTTAAAGGCTTTTCGAAAAGTTATAAATTTGATGGTACTTTAGACCAAGAAATAGAGACATGTACAAAACTTTTAAATATGTTTTCTGGGCAAAGAAAAATTGTATCTGTTTCTTAATATTATTTTATAAAAGTATGTTGTTATACAGTTTATTCAAGAAATACGGGTATTTGTTTTTGTGTATTATTTATTCAAACTCAAACTAAAGCTTCAACTTTTTTTCCTATTTGGTTAGCTTATACCATTATATATTTTTAAAGGCTTCCTTAAAGTCCCCAGGGAGTATTTTACAAAGGAGCATTTCTAAACATCGTTTCCCCAAAAACGTCTGTTATACTGAAGGGGATGACTAAGATGGGGTCTAACCCAAGAACCACATAAAAACTACTCCAAAGTGTAAGCAATTTTCGCTTGCCTACTTTAAGGCGGTTAGTGGTAAATAGTTTTCGAGTTGGTTGACTGTTTTCATCTAGAATTTTAATTAATTTTTTCCAACCAATTAGCAGTATCAAAACCACAACTCAGGACTGTTCGCTGAACTCCCGCTGGCAGTGGGTTTGTGGGTTAGCAGGTTGCCACCGCCCACTTACAGCCGACCCCTCCCCGTTTTTACCCAGCCCCTTTTGAGGACGCTTTAATCGCCAGCTAAGTCGCTCTCTTTGTTTTACTTGTAATTCAATAAAGCGATGGTGCCCCTCTAACCTCGGGGTTTCAGTTTTGTTGTTACGGCGTCTGTCTACGCTTATCACGTACACACACAGACACACAATCACACACACACTGGCACACAAATACACACAAACACTCACACTCGGTGCAAACAACGCTGACTAGCTGATACAGAAATTTCATATATATTTTTTTTCTTTAGCCGTGTTTCGATTTTTTGGCAATTGCTCTTTTCTTTACCGAAAAAATCTAGAAATCCACTTGAAGTATCCTGCCCGTGCGCTTTTATTTCCACTTGAATGGCGTATAAGCGTTAAGCGATGACTTTGACTGATCAAAAGTGAACACAAAATGTAGTTTAGATAATTTTGAGATTTGGCTGGGCGAAATGTATGGAGCTAGAGAATTTTGGCTGAACTGTCAACGACGGTGATGAAATTTTCACTGAGCGAGTTGGCTTTTCATCCCAGAATTTCCCACCAAAAGGAAAGCGAGTGTTAAGGCATTTGAGTTCTGAGAGAGTAAAAGGGAGAGAGAGAGTAAATTCAAAGAGAGAAAGTTTAAAAAAGAGTACAGTAAATTGATTGTTTATTAAGGTTAAATGTAATTTTTTTACTGTAGTTAGCTATAGAACACTATTTTATATCAACCTAGTTATGATCGCTAATTTTGTTTTAAAAATTTTAAACTTTTCATTGATAAATTGTAAATATACCGTTATTTTTATAGAATTTACCAACACTGGATGTTCTCCTAAGGAGAATACCACCCCATTTTAAGCTTCGGCGCATGCGTGAGCAAGAGAAACCTGCGGGCATATCGATTCATTGAAGTCTGCGTTACGCTACAAATTTTAACAACCACCGTCACAAGTACACTGATCAAAAAAGTATATTAAATTTGATTTAGTATAATTTAATGTGATTTTATAAAATTTTTAATTATTTTGTATTGATAAATTAGTTAAAAATCATTTATAATTAATTTAAATTTGTTTACAATATTGTTACTGAATGATTAAAAAACGCAATGCAAAAAATAATTTTAAATAATTCAATTTGCATGTTATTGTACTTCAAAAATGTTGATTATTTTTTATTTTTTTAATATTTTAAAGAATTTGGCCTTTTGCTTAAATTATGTCTTTTGAAGCTACTTTTTCTAAGTGAACTTGCTCTTAGATACCAACGCACATTGTAATATTTTTATCAGCAAGCGTGGCGAGATGGTATAAATAGAGAGAGGAAATGGGCCAAACTTGGAGAGCTGTTGCATGGCATAAACTCTTTTTCCAGCGAAGTGGCAACACTTCCGATGGCCAGAACCAGTAGACAAGGCAAAAAAGGCCAAAACAAACGAAGATGTGGCCAAAAAGAGCAGCGAGAAAATGGAGAGAGAGGGAGAGAATAACAATATAAGCAGCGAAGCTGAAACAGCAAAGCTTGGCTTAAAGCGATTTCCGTCTCTGCCATTCAGTTTTCAACAATCTCTCGAGCCGTCAACGTGTCAAGCGGAATATTTCCATCTAAATCCAATTGGACTTTGGTGTTTTACGCGTTTTAAAATTTAGAACCAGCCGAGGTTTCCGTGCGGAGTGCAGGTAGCTGAGTAATAGCAAATACAAACAACTTTTTCGAACAAATAAACACATTTAATAAACGGCCCAAACAACAATAAGTAAACAATGAGCTGTTGCATAAAACTTGTTTTCACGTGTTGCTCACACGTCGCTCAGCTAAAAATGAGCGAAAATTGTATAAACTTCAAAGTGAACAAAAAACAAACAAAATAAATAATATTTAATAATAGGAAACTATTGCTGATTGTAGCCAACTTTATGCACAAAACTTTAACTAATGAGTGGCTAGTTAAAGTTTAAATTAGTATTTTTAGTGCCTGAAATTTGCGCGATTTTACAAAGAATGTTCAGATTTTCTCGCTCTCTTTAAATAACTCTCTTTGCTCAAGAAAACAGTTCTCTTAACTGAAGCTGCTATTGGAAGCACGGTTTTTTTTATTAACTAACAAAAATAACTAACTATTTTGCTACAAGCTTTAGGCTGACTTGAGTATTGCATATTGCGGCCAAGCAGCATTAGAAAAATGTGTAATCAAGTACGTGTGTGATTGAGCCAGGCATTTCCGTTTGAGTTTGCTGTTAGAAAAGCTAAATAAATCAAATATGTAGTCAGTTAATAACTTCTGGTCACAAAATACAGCATAAATTAAGCGAATTATTTGTAGATAAATGTTAGACATTGATCTTCAATATTCAAAATCTGGATCACGTTTGGCACAAATGTCGCTTTTTTTAGTAATTGCTTTGGACTTTAAGCTTTACTGTCGCATTTCCAGCAAATGACGCAATTCAGGCTATTTTCTGTGCTCTTTGTGCGGCAAATAAATATATTTTCGAGCAAACTCGTTTGCGGCACTCCAACTCATTGTTTCATTTGATTTGCGAAATCCTTTTCCGAGTAAACTCAGCTTTGATATTTATTAGATGCGGTTCAATCAGGTCGGGGTCGAGTCGAAAACGAAATCGAAATACGTGAGAATGGGATGCGTTGGTTGAAAAAATGGTCAGATAAAAAAGGGCATATTAAAAGATTAGAAAACCGATGCACTTGTGTCACGTTTGCGTACTTAAAATTTCATAGAAAGTTATGACCCCCGAAATCTGGAAATCATCTCAACCAGCTCGAGAGCTCCCCTGATGAAAACGAGGCGATAAGCAGCAAATAACTGAGAAAAGCTCGACTTAGTTCAGTTCGGGTTAGAGGCTTTTGTTCTCAGTAGAGGCTTTGAGTCATAGGACGGATGAGTAATTTAGAAAGAACGAAAGATAAAAAAGTAAGACCCATCAAATCGAATGCAGCTGCAACTTGACAACTGCGTGAGCTGCATGAAGTGGGCTATAATCAGCGCCAGACAATTGCACAATTGCTCAATTGGGTGATAAACGTTCCGGATAATTGCAGCTGCCCAAAAGGACACAGACCCGCGAACAAAGCCAAACGAAAGACTTAGGAAGCGAACGCGATGACGACAGGCAAGAGGCCAGAAACCCAGGGCCTTTGGTTCCTGCCCGTGCTGCTGCTGCTGGTTGGACAGGTAAGTAAAAGATAATTAGACCACTTTCTGGACATTTCACTTTTCATTTGCATACAATATTGTTCTGCGACGGCCATGAAAACGGGGTTAACTGCCGGCCCAACTTCATCTCTTACTGCCTTCTACCATTTTCATGGCTTCTCGGGTCGGTTCCGTGGTTTTTCCACGGCAATTTTCCAGGGCAGACAAATTAATGAACTTCATATTGACTGCAGCTGGGCCACTTTATCAATAGCAATAGCCATAGCAATAGGAATGGTCACTGCCGTGACTCTTTGGCCATAACTATAACTCTGCGGGCAGGCTTAGTGCTCCGATTCCCCGCCTACCAGCAGTCATACTCCAAATGTGCCACTGACCGATATCTTAACTTTTACCCAACTGTGCCCCCCCTTTGGACCCTTCCTCTGGACCCCCTAAAAATTGGTCCATTGTTCGTGAGCGCTTCAGGAATGCTTTTGGTTTTGGTTTCAGTTCTGATTTGGTTTGGTTCGATTTCAGTTTTCGTATGAAATGGCACAAATCTATCATGGTGAGAGTTGCTAGGGCTTGGCATCAATTGAAATTAGTTCAAGACTGGATTTTGTCGATCCGGGGGTTTTCGGCAGTTTTCACCATTGCTCATTTCCCCAATTTCGTTTGTTGAGGCATATATTTTCCCCAAGCCAATACTTTTCGTAGCTTACTAATAACCAATAATTTCTCTGAAGTTTGGTTTGTAAACACAAACTCAATTAAATGTTTTTGGAGAGATATGTTACACAAATGTTGTTGTATGTGTATACTTAAAAATTTCCCATTGAAATTGAACTCTATTACGATGACGGTCATAACAGACTAGTATATTTAGGTATCTCCGGATTTCCCGCATCGAGGCAATGTGGTTTCTTATAATGTATTTGCGCCTGTACTAAATTTTTAATTTTTAATATTGTTTAAATATGTTTAATAACATTTTGTTATCTATGCTTTACTTATCATGGTGTTTTGGTACCTTAATTGGTTTTTGAGTACAAGAAGTAAATAGGATTCTTCTGTACGCCAAATACTTTTTGAACGCAAGAAGTAAAGTTTTATAGATACTATTAATGGAAATTTGATTTCTGCCATTTTGGTTTTGAAAAATTTGACCCGTCCCGCCCTTGTTGCTGCCCACTCCGCCCGTCAAACTGATAACGGGTATGTTGAACTATCCATCGAAGTCAGCGTCCGCTGGAGAATGACATCATAAAATGCCGGGCTCGGGGCGTGGGCGTCAAAATTCGCTCTTTGGGTTTGGCAGGCAGGCAATCGGCCTACAGCTCGATTCGGAAACTTCAAGTACAGAAATAACAGAGACTGCGCGGCCAAGTTGGTTGGCTTTTGGTAAATGCAAAACTCACAAAACCTTGAAGCATACGTAAAAGCAACGGCAAACAAAACGCAGTCTCTCTGGTAATTATCATCTTGTTGGCGATGATGAAGGCACCGATGATGACGATGATGATATAAGTTTACCCATCGGCGCGTTCGGCCAAAAGTCAGACAGAAATACCCATGTAAACAACAACTTATGCGAAAGTAAATCTCGCAGCATGTGTGCGTGTTGAGGGACGTTTAAAATTGAAACATGGCTGGCTTACGGTACTCGGCCAGCCCGCTTTTCACACTCATTAAACAATAAATGAACTAGCGCCTTTTTCGGCAGGTTTTCAGTTACCTAAAAGGTTGTTAACACAAAACCCAGTGACCGTTGGCAATTTGATTTCCTTTTCCTTCGATTAATATGCCCAACGCACTGTAGACTTGACATGAAATTGCTCAAAATTAGCCGACGGTTAACTCATATTAATTGACGCCTTCTTTCGGTGCTAAATATTGACTTGCACATTAGCGAGTGCGTGTAATTGTTGTTTTTGTCGCCGCTATTGTCATTGCCATGTTTTTGTTGTTACGGGCCATTAAAATCAGTTTCAATGTCAGCGCACACCAACAGAAATAAGCTGAAAGCGAACGAAATATGCTAATTCTCGAAACCATCCGATTCAATATGAATATATGGCAATCCATACGTAAATGTGTATATAACGAGCGATTCAGTTTTTATGCCATGTCGTCATGGCTTTGGCCTGCCAGCAACCATATAAGACAACGAGAACAACCCACCAACAACCGCCACCGACTTACGTTTCGATATGTGAAGTAAAAATTTCAAAAAATACAGAAAATAAAACCAAAACAATCCCCAAGAATCCGGCGTATTTGGCCAGAATGACGCGTTGAATGTGACCACAGGTAGCTTGTGTTGCGGTTGAAGCTTTGAGGATTAAACAAATTTTGGAGTTAAGTGTTCTTTTTTCGGGTAGAAGCCAGACAGGCAACGAAATTTGATCCAAACTAAATAATAAAACCAACTGCAGAGGATTAAATCTTCAAATACAATTAATTCATATATACAATGGCGATAAGTTGATCATAGTGTGTTTTTTATGGTTTCAATCTACATGCAACCGGTCTTAAAAAAACAATAAATCTAAAAATTCGTATTAAATAATACTTAACGACACATCATAATTGCGAATATTGCAAAAACTACACGTTGAAGCACAATTGAAGACTTGTGTGCTCTACAAATACCAAAAACGGCTTCAGAAAACCTCATGCCTAGAGCAGAGAAACTTGAGCTACCCACTTGTTGATTTCCCCTCCGAGGGTATCAAAATAAACCGCAAAGCCATTCTCGATTGACAAGCACGTGCTTGCCAACGACTGCCAAAAGCCAATTGAAGTGCCCCACACTGGTCTTGAGCCCAAGCCCCTCGATCCTCTTTCTATATGCTCAACATTACCTGAATTACTGTTGCGGTGGCAACCGATGGCAATAAAAAATAAAACTTTATAATGCGAATGAATGTACTCAAAAATATGATTCATTGTTTACTTGGACTTAGTCGCTTATATATTATTCTTAGAACTTGAGATGAGCCAGCAGCAGCAGTGACTGAGAAATTCTGGCGGCAGCATAACAAAAGACTTAGACAACAAACTCTTTGATTGTCTTGGACATTTCATTGAAATTCTTTTAGTTCTTATTTAGTTTTTGTTTCCTTTTTTACGAGTTTAAGTGCTAACGGTTTGTGCCAGATACAGTTGGTCGATGGCGATGGCTTTATCAAATTGAGCCGGGATATATTTTTTGTTTGCTACTGATAACCGCAGAATGCGAATGAATATCTGGCCAGCAGCCGGGCCATTATGCTCCAATTAACAGAAAATATGACCAACCCGAAGACTGCTGCATATTGACCACAAATGCCGGGTGCAATCAAGTGAACCTGGCACAGGCTCTGACTCCCGTCTCCATAAACATAAGCCGATCGCAACGCACTGGAGACCGGGGCAATTAGAAGAGCAACCAGTTTGGTCACTGCACGCAATGGTGGATACGCTCAGCACTGGGTTAGTAGTATCGGGCCATGATGTCTGATGTCTGGCCCCCGGACAGGAAGCCGTTGCCATTGCCGTTCTCGATGGCCGGGAATATGTCGACTTGCCGCCACTGGACTGGGCCCATTAGATTGAGTGTGCGCAGTTAGATTCTATGGCTCTTTGGTCATAACTCTCGGGGAGCGCCAGAAGAAAATGGCCAACGAAAATGGCATGTTTATGTCAACGCCGAAAGATTTAAGCACGAAAAAGAGTGATGGTAAAAGAGGTGTGTCTTTTTCAAACATTAGAACAATGTTTTCTCACAAGACAACATAACATACAAATTTATTTTGATTAGGTTCAAGTATTTTATGAATAACATAGTAACGAGAATAAAGGATTATAAAATGTTTTAATGTTTAAAATAAAAAAAATCGATAACTAGTTAAATATAAATTTAATGACAGGAAATATACAATTTTATTGCATTAACACTTAAAACAAATGAGTATCTTTAATTTTTGTTACCGTAACTTTAGTTGTTTGTTTTTGAATAAAATTGCTGGCATCACTAGCGATCTAGTAACTAGCTCTGTGAGATCAGGCCAATCCGCTTGGCACATCCGAGCCACTGAGTTGGCGCAATTTAACGCCGCGTTGATCTCGCAGTGCGAATTATTTTGCTCAATGCTGGAGCAGCGGGTCGGTGTAGCGTGAAATTCATTAAAATTTATGCAAAAGTGTTTGGCATATTGGGTCATCGGATCGGTGGTCGCCAGCCAGTGCGCTCAGTGCGGAGAAAGTTCTTTCTTTTGTTTGACTTTGGCTGACACGGCCTGCGGCTAGGCTAGCACATGTTCATTATTTGATTAACTTGCATTGTTCACCTGCAGGTCTGATGCTCTGCTGCTCTGTTGCTCTGCTTCTCTGCGTTCTCCGTCGCCTGTCAGTCGACAAAAACAATTTAGCAATTGTTTCTACCTTTGTTTTTCTGCACCAGCTTCGGCCCCGAGGTAAAAGTAGGTTTTATTCGAAACTAATGGGAAAAACTATTCCCCAGTTCTGCTTTCGCAGTCGCTGCACTGCCGACTGTCATTGAGGCCCGTGGCTTTTAGGAAATTTTCGTCTCAGTATGGGGCTGACTGGGCTTTCAAATTCTGTCCAAGATGATGCGCATGGAAAGTGCACATTTATGAAAATTGCAGACACCACGAGGGCAGTATTTCGGTTTGGCTGCTGGGAACGACTTTTTCAGAATGGGTTTTTCGTGCGGCCTAACTTTTGACAGCAATTAAGGCGATGGTCAAAGAAAGTGTGACAACTTTAAAGCCAGCTCAAAGTCACGATAAGCGATTGTTTCAATCAAGCAATAAGGATGACTAAGGGGTAACCTCTTCTCAAAATGTAAGATGAAAGTTTGGACTGCTAATGCCCTTCGGCAATGATGCCATTCTAAATATATAGGTTTTTTTCTTAAACAAAAACTTTAAAAATTACAACAAGCTTAAAATAAGCTTAAGACCACTTATGATGTTTAAATGTTGTTCTTAAGGAAAACATTATAAGCAATAACCTATATTATTTTTAATGAAGATGCACCTTCATTTGTTCAACTCTTAAAGCCTTTTTTAATTAAAATGGGAACAGAATGCATACAGCAAAGTAGTATAATTAGAAACCTTTCAAATCATAAGGCATATGCATGTCTCAAATAATGATACACAAAAAAGTTTAAATTAATGGAGATGCACTTAAGTATAACCAATTTTCAAAACACAGCTTGGGTTAAATAGCTCTACATTATGCATTGAGAGCTGGATGCATTTGGTGAAAAGATGATTAGTACTTTACGGCGGAAGATCTGCCCTTTGTTGGCCGGCAAATGGAGCCTAATTCGATTAAGGAAAACTTTCAAAACATGGCCAGCCCTTGTAAGGCCCAAGAATAGAAAGTACTTAGCATAATTTCCCAGCTGGTCAGAGCGAAACTCATTAAAACAAGACATTGGCTTCGGCTACTGCTGATGTTTTCTGTTGGTTGGATTTCTCGGACATCGATAAATAAGCAACATAAATAACCAGCAGAGAACACGGTTGGAATGTTGTTCGGCAATATTTTGAAGAATTTACAAAGCTTTTCTATCGATGGTCTTTCAGCATTGCCTTAACAAAAGGCCAGACATATGATTTTGTAGGCACAATCGGGGCGAGAGGGAATGGGCGGCGAACAAGTGCTTATTATTATATTAGTGGTACGACAGCGTTTCATTATGGGCCCCACAATTGACCCACCGAGTGGTGGAAGGGTCGTCGCAGAACGTGCAGACCCGCTGACAGAGTCGAAAGGTGGGGCCAGCAGGTAACCACCGAGGGACCATCGACGTGCCATGGAATTAGCGCGTCAGAACATCAATGGAGGAGCGCGCCAGCAATTGAAATTTAATTGAAGCCGCGGCGACATTAATTGCCCATCGCTTTTCTTCCTACTTCGTGGTTGTTTATCTGTGAACCCTATGGCCAAGATAAAACCGTTGGAAAAACCCTTTCAGCTGTCACTCGGCAGGCCGTTTTGCATTATATAATCGGGCAAAGCTCGGAACGGGTTTTTCCAGGCGATGTCAGCTTCATTAAGCTTTTCGGCCAAGTCCGGTCGGGGCTGAAGCTCTGGCCAAAAAGCCAGAGCCGCACATAAATACGCTTCCATCTGGCGGTACTGTAATGCGAGTTAAACGGCAATTTATGCGCTGCCAGCGAAAATACCGTGACAATTTGCAATCAGCAACAGTCGGACTCGGACGCTGAAGCTGGACTCTTGGCCATCCGAAACGCGGCTTAGTCCGTTTGCAAGGCTTGGCCCGGTCTTATGTTATAATTTACTTCGGGCCGAGCTTTATTGCCCGAGCGCCACATAGCGGAAACTCAAATGCACGCGAAATATGTTAAAAGCGGCTCCCCACCTTTTGTTATGCACGAGTTTTGTTTTCGCTTCTAAGCCGAACTTGCTGCACATGTTTATGTTTTTTCTTTTTTCAACTCCCAGCGATCGGAATATGTTTGGCAATCTATTTTGGCCAACTATGCGCAGCTGCACTTATGCTTTGGCTATGACTCTGTCGATTGTATCGCCCGACTTAAATCCCAAAAAAAACGAAATGCTTGTAATAATAAAAACAAAGCGGACTCTTGCGAAATATTAAAGTTAAGGAAACACACCCAGACAGACGGGCTGGCAAAGTAAATTGAGTGGAATTACTTGTGCACATAAATCACAATCACATTTAATTGCCCGGCATAAGAGGTGATCAAGTATTAGGCCTTAAATTGGACATGGGAATCTGAAGGCTTATTGAATTTATTTGAGAAAGTTTTCTAGGCTCAGTTCTTCTATAAATAAAACGTAATGGGAATAGTAGTCGTTTTAAGCCATTACTTTGGCCAAAGATACTTTAGATTAATGATTGAGAAGTCAAAAATTTAGACAATCCTTTTTAAATTGCCCACCTATAAAACTAAAGTTTTCAAACAAATAAGTCTACAATGTGAAGATAATTAATTTAATTTGTGTGAATAAGTGCATCATTTTATGTTATTAAATTGATACCTTTTATTAATTTTTTTTAAATAAATTTCTTCTTACTGCCTTACGCTGCAAATAAAGCAATCCTTTTGTACCAACATGTAGCGAACATTTTATTACCCTTTTGCTGCGATATAAATTTAATAGAATCCATTCGTCTGTTGGGCTATAAATACCATTTTGGTTTTATGCGAGCACAGCATCTGTGGCACCATTAAATCGCCTTCCCCGACTAAGCTTCAACTTAATTTCCCATGTTTTCCGACCATGCAGTGCATTTTCTGGGCGGTCTTTCTACCGCCCCAGACAGATCCCCATTTTTCACTTAAACTCTTGCAGTTTTGTCATTCTTAAACAGATAATTGCCCGGGCTAAATAAAATAAAAACAGAAACGAGTTGGCCTTCCTGTACTAATTGCCCACGTCACTTGGCTTAATAGCTAAGCTGCTTTAATGCGGCGGGCCGAACACTTATGGTTTATGGCCTGACCCCTTGCAGCTATATAAATCACCGTCATCTAGTGGCTCCACTTAATGATCCTGGGTGAGTCGCCCGTTCTTTGGGTCTCCAGCTCCAGCTGCGTTTCGATTTGGCGTTATGATTTTGCATCGGTCGGTCGGAAAGGAGAAGGAATTTGTGAGAAATCACTCGGTCGTAGTGTCCTGCGGGGCAAATCCATCAAGAAGAGAGACGCAGCTCACTGGCTCATTGGCCATGGCGTGACTGGCAGCGCAAGTGTCTAATTGTATTTGGGTTTGCATTTTGTTTGTTGCCCCGACCACAATCAGAGCGTGTTGCATAACACAATAGTCGAATGCTTTACTTTGGGCCAACTATTTTAACAAGCCGCCGCCACACTCGAAACGATAGTGAAACGAGCATGCAAAAACTATTTTAATTGACTGCCTTTGCCGCCATCGTTGTCGTTGCAGTTGCAGTTGGCGAGAAAAACAAAAAACAAAAACGGAAAAATCCATGCAAAACAATTGCCTTTTCGCGGAGCGACAAATTGTCATGGGAGTTGCTGGAGTTTCTCGGGGGACCCACTCATGTGACCCTCGCGGCGCATTGAACTCCCGAGCGGCGGAGATGGGGAACCGCCGCCATCGCACTGCCATTGTCTCCGTTTTTTTTTTTTTGGATTTTGGATTGCAAAGTGGCCGGCGCATTGAGATACAATAAATTGCTGATGGCATGCAAAGTGGATGTTCGGATGTTCTAGTTGCCATAGAAAGTGGCACACTGGCCAACATGTTTTTGGCACCGACATCGGCTCTCTTGTCAGCCGACGGAACTGGGTCACCCGGCTGCATTTCACCTGACGCACAGTAGCCAGCAGCTCGGCGGCCGGAGGATCGAGTGGGAAATTAATTGCTTCAATGACTGCACAAAATTTGATATTTTTTGGCACGCCAAAGGGCGGCTGCTCCAGCGGCCTTTCTCGAAAGTAAATATAAATCAAAAGCCTTTCGCTTGGGACAGAAAAAAAGGGGGATAGGCTGGAACGGGGAGTCCGAATCCGCGCGACTTGGACAGCACCCGAGGACCGTCGAAACGTGAACCCAGTTCGACTATTGGACCGCAAAGGCGGCGTCAAGGCGATTGTCATGACATGGCTTACTTAACTTTGGCGCGGCTTATCTAGCGCCTACACTTGAAAAACTGTTGGTTTTTATAAATAGTTTCTTTTTTCGAAATTTTCTGTTTTCTGTTTTTAAAGCTGATACATAATCAATAACTGTGTAAGCAACAACTTTAAAAGACTAATTTTCATACTTGCAAACCAGTTCGTGTCTTAAGTCTTTCGTTTTGCCTGCTTCCGTTTGACAAATGGAAAATAATGTTGTCAGATGGAGTCTTTTATATGCAAATTAAGAACGCTAAGCAATCAATTGCAGACCAAGACTTATGTGAACTTTTAAATATGCATTTTATTTCACACTATCCCTATTATTTTTTTCCAAGAATTTTCGCGAACCAATTGACTATGCAAATTCCCTCGCCAAACATTTCTAGCACGTTTCTAAGAATTTCGCCTGTTTAAGCTCTCCAGTTTTTCGCGTGTACCCACTCCATTCGTTCGACTGCCATTCCCAATCGTTCTGTGCCTCTAAAGCTGGAGCACAAATTCAATTATCACGACGGAGCGACAGCAGCCCAAGTCGAGCACGCCAATAAATTATCTTAGAGCCAAATGCCTTTGACAGTGCGCTCGGCTGTTAGCTGTAAGCTGTAAACTGACCCAAAACGTGCAGAACTTTGGCAGCTGTGCTGGCCCAAAGTTCTGGCCAATCTCCGGGTCCGGGTGCGCTGCCTTTGCCTTTTTGCAATTAATTGCGACTACGGCTGACTCTCTGGCTTGGCCGTTTAAAATTAATTTAAATTTTCTTCTTTGGCTGCTGTTTCCACTGTGTTTGTCCAATGAGTTGGCATTTATTTGCCGGCCAGGCCGTGCTAGTGCGTCAGTTCCCAGGGTCCAGAAATCGGGTCAAAGTTATTAACCGAAGATGGTAGACATGGTAGCATACCTAACGCTTTTCGCATTTTGTATTCATTGCAGGTCACCACACAGGAACCGGCGGCAACTCCGTCCGAATTCGCACCCCATGTGACGGCCACTTGCAAGGCGGGCACGATGAACATCAAGGTGAAGATGAGCGCCGGCTATACGGGCGCCGTCCACGTCCGGGAGTACCGCACCCCGGGCTGCATGGCCATGGGCGACGGCAGCGACTCCGTGGCCTTCAGCCTCAACCTGTGGGCCAAGCAGGGCGCCAGCGACTACTGCGGCATCCTGGTCAGCAACGTGAGTGGAAGCAATGTAAGCATAACCCTCTGCGCTTTTTTAACCGAATTAATCACTAAACCATGAACAACTTGACGTTGGAGGCGGAGAAAATGTCGGAAATGGCCACTTTTTAGAAATATTAAAATAGTTTAGAGCTACATAGTTCCTTTATGCAGGCAATGTTTTCATTTATCAAATTAAAAAAAAGGTCTAAAATGAATTAGTTCAACTTTGTGGATGAAAAGAATAATAATTAGGTAAAAAAATTCTTTTAGTCTGAAAATATTAAAGATCTTGTAAGAAGAAAGTTCATGTGAACCAGTAATTTACAACTAACAAACAAGATATGTACTCTAATCTGAGAACACTGAATATAAATAATGTGAAAAAGGTAACAAAATACTCTTTGTAAGAGTCAAAGTTCATGTGAACCTGTACTTGACCCAAAACAAACAAAAAATGTTCTATAGTCTGAGAGTGTTTTATCATTTTCAGGTAATATCATACAATTAGAGCAGTTAAGTGAGTGCGAAATTACATAAGACTCAAACTTAAAGCAACAGCTAGACGTCAACCAACTTTAGTAGACCAGCTTCCACCCAGTTACTCACGCAGCCAGCAAGTTCGTGTCTTAAGTCTTTCGTTTACCACCTCCCGTTTGACAAATGGCAAATTAATTTTGTCAGCCAGCTAGTAAAATTGGCAAATTACCACAAAAATTCAGGCCGAAAAGACCACCAACTGTGAACTGTGAGGCAATCCGTGTGTGCAGCTGGAAAACTGCCGATCCGAGACAGCAGGCTGCCAGCTACTATACATTTCAACCTCAATGAGAGGCCAAAAACTGGGGAGACTACAGACTAGAGACAAGAGATTTGATGCCAGAGACCTTGTCTGGCTAAAAAGGGCACGCATGCGCATAAATTTGAGCCCGCCTATCGGCCGTGTACTTGACTCAAGTCTTGGCCCCAAATCAACGCAAATCAGCAAAGACGCTGGTCGTCGCCTGGCGGTCGACGTTGCAGTCAGTCTATATAGTAACGATGGCAATAAAAATCAAGTTTAATCCTACGTGTATCACAGGCGTTGACAAGCGGCGACTACGATTCCGTGTGGGTCTGGGCTGGGGCTGGCTATGAGTCTGGGTCCGGCTTTTCCGCTCGTACACGCACTCGAACAATGCCAGACAAAGGCAAATCGCATTAGCCATAGTCATCCCGGCCAGATACGCCTGTGGCCCAGTGCAGTGCGTTGAAATGCAAATTATCCATAGGGCTGGCTGACAGATGCTTATAAGTACAAGCACATACAACATTATTAATTGCAATGTCAAACCCCTCTGACCGCACCCTGTATTCCAATTTTTTTCCCGATCTCTTTCTGTCTCCCTGCCTGTTGGAATAAAACTACACATCTGGGGGGAGATTCGCAGCTTCAAGGCCCACCTTCCTTTCGGGTTGCGAACAAAAAAAGGGGAGGTCCCCCATAAAATTAAATCACGCTTATCGCAACTGCGGCTTGAATTTTATTTTTATGTGTACCCAAACATGCTGCTTATATATAAACTTGTACAGTAAGTAATGGAAGCAGGAGAATAAAATTGTTAAAATCTATAACATAACAATCTATTCCTAGTTCAAACGAAGTTCAAAATTAAAACTAAAATCCAGCAGCTTTATATATATTTTAAGCCAATTAATATTTTAAAATCACTATGATAATTTTTAAAAACAAGAAATATAATATTTATTCAGTTTTAGGTTAAACAATGATATTTTCCAGAAACCTTCAGACCTTCCAATTTTAAAGTAAACTAAAGTCTTTAATCGTTTGTATACTTTTCTATAAGAAATATGTTTTTACTTTACAAAAATTTTACAAAGGACTAAGGAATATGAAATGCGATTTTTATATTTTTTCCTTTATAAAACTAGCTAAAGTTTGTTAAGAGAATGGAGTATAACTTAAAGTTGAGCTTGCACAAGTCCTTTGAGCTTGAAAAATCATTGTTTTTTCCATCCGTCAAGAGCTTTTGAAGTGTTGATGAGTTCACGCACTCCATCACTTACTGTACCTTAATGTTTGCTGGCCTTTCTGGCTGGGTGTGCCTTGGCAGCTTGCGCCGGCGTCTAGTTTCAGCCTCAGACGGCGGATTTCACATGCCCAGACACGGCTTTCCACGCTTCGACTTTGACAGCATTCCAAGCCGTTGTTGTGGCTGAGATGTGGATGTTGGATCCGATGTTGCTATTGTTGTGCCGGCTGTGTGGAATTTGTGTCAAAAGAATGTTTTTAATGCGGCGGCGGAGGCAATTTTGATTCTATTTCAAGGCAAATATTTTCGAGCGACTTTAATTGCTGTGCGAAATGCCTGCAACTGACCTTGGCAGATTGCAGTCGGCCACTTTCGCCCCTCCAGTTCCTATCTTTGAATCTGCTCCAGCGCAGCTGGCAGAGCATGAAATTGCCGCTGACAATGGCCAAGACGTCCAACTATTTTTACATAAAGTTCACGACGGCATTGAGGCTGGCGTACTTGAACTTATTTCTTATTACGGCAACTATTATTGTTATTATTTTTATTTTAGCTGCGGCGCGAGTGGGTTGCCCGGCCGAGATTGTTTGCCATTATTTGATGATGGCAGGCAGCTCTAAGTAGTATGGTTCTTTGTCTAGCACCATTATATACATTTAAATGTTAATTGCGAATGCAATAACCAAAGCCTGTAGGCAGGGGCCGCAAGTCAATTTGCCATCGGGTAATTTCCACACATTTAGACAGTTAATGAGAGTCGCTCATAGAGCGTATGGGGTATCAACTTTGCCATTTTCTTGGCTTTTGATAATAACACGATAATGAGCTCATCCGTTGTGGCATGCAACTGCGTGATGCATGAGTTGGCCAACGGATTGTGACATCACTGGTTGGCCAATGCGTTCCCCACCAATGGAGAACAGCTCTCCGCCCCTCCAAGGTATTTATGACTGCGGCTATAAGTTGTGTCTATTCGCTAACCGCTTTAACCAGCCACTGACCAAACTCTAATCAAGAAAGCCATAATACCCTCAACTGTGGAGGCGTGCTATTAAACCAATAACAGCGAGATAAAATATAAAGAAATATTATATATAAAAAATATTTACTCACCCAAGTATTTACTCACATTCATTGACACTTATTTACCGGGCAATGCAAACTGGTTTGACTGCCAGCTGGTGTAAAAGCAATGTAAGCTACACAGAAGTGACAAAGAAACTTGTACTTTTTGTACACCTTTTTATGGAAAGCTGTTGCGGGTCAAGGCCGGGCCTTAATATCGAAACACAAACCAAAATTACAAATAAAATCAGTGAAGCCTAAGCCAACAGTTAGAGTAATTACTGCGGAAAATCTTGGCCAACCGAGCGCAGAGATTCTTAGAACTGTTGCCCATCTGCAGTCACATACCGCTGCACAACCCAGCTGCAGATGATATTCAAAATGATTCTAAAATAATTACCGAAAACCATGATAGCCCGGCTTGAGCATGGCCATATTTAAGCGGCTAACAGTGAGCAATCAGAGTCAGTGGAAAAACGCTAAGGAGAAAATAAACAAGTGGAAAATGCGTCACACTCGGCGGCATTTTGCATTTCCTCGTTGTGCGATTGCATCATGTGACAATTAACATGCCACAAGTGCAAGTTGCAGCCATGGTCGTGGGCTAGCCACTTACAGTCAAAGAAATAAGTGAAAGAGATATCTTTGATCTTGGAATAGACGCACTTGAAATTAATTTTTACCGCTTACGTTTTATTAAAAGTAACTTCAATAAAACCCTTCTTGATTTTCCGTTTCATTAACAAATTGTGAAATGTCGATTCTGTGCTTTTCATGAAAATCTAGTATATTTCAGTGTTTGGCAACAGTTGCTTTCTTTAGAGAGGCAAAGCATGGGCGGGCTGGGTATAAATTGGGACCTAACTCGGCTTTTCCGACCAATCAACATTAACGTCATGGGCATTAACTTTTAATAACCGGCAATTAAATTAACTTTTCCCCTGTCCAACTCCCTGTCTCCATCCTGATGTCCAAATCCCCCGCAGCGCACCGAGGAGCGTTCCATCCAGCTGGCCGTGCGTGTGCACAAGACTCTGGAATTGGCGGACGATAAGTTTTATGTGATTACCTGTGGCAAATCGGGCTATGCGCGGTAAGTTGGCGAATGCTTAACCTGTCTAGACAATTGCACTTAAGTTCTGTTTCGGCTCCGATTTGCTCCGTGTGTGCTGTACTGTGCTGTAATTTTTGGTCAAGCTTCCGTCAGTCCGAAGTGCTGGCCAATTTCCAGAGACTCGGCGGCGGCTCACAACAAATGAAATCAAAGAGCAAATTGTGCTGACTATGGATAGATTTCGAATTGGATTTGGTTTTCGATTTGGATGCAGGCGCGTAGGTGTTGCTCTTAGCTGGCCATTTGCCATTGTTCGCATTTCTTTCTGCTGTTGGCGGAATTAGAACTCAAGGCCATTGAGCTTTGGGCCATAATTCTTCGATTCTTTCACTCAATCACCTCTTTTGTGCGGGCAAATAAAAAAAAAAAACAAATAACAAGAACAGCGAAAAGTGAGAGAATAATTCCTAAAAAGGCAGAATAATCAACAAATTTATAGTGCTTACTGGGCAGCAGTTCAATTAACGGTAAACATCTTGAGGGGTCCGATAATCATCTTGAGGTGAACGAAAAACAATTTAATTTACCTTCCCGCCTCGCGGCTCATTTGCATAATGCCAATGACTCTGCTCGACAGCGACTTACGCAAGCCTTTCTCAGCTAAATACCCATTGGGCTGCCGCTTCTGCTGCTGCTGTTAATACAAAAACCTCGGATGGGAAATAAAAATGGCATTAAAAACGGTTTTCCAAAACGTTTCGCTCTGTTAAGTCCGGAAAAAGGCAAAGAAATTGTTAACAGAATTTGTGTGGTAAACGCAAACATTAAAATCGTGCCAGTCCGTGTACAAGGCGAACAACAAATAGTTTTTGACGTCTACACATATTTGTATCGCTGCTTATGTGGCCCACAAAGCAACTGTCTATAGCGCAATGACCGGCGATTGCAGTTGCGATTGCATAATTGCAGAACTAGCGATTGCAGCTTCGCCCAAAGCTTTTGGGTCTATTGGCTATGCTTTTAATTAGACCCTGCCACACGGAGTAATTACAGAGTCGTCCACCGTTAGACCCCCAATAATAAACCCCTATTATAAAACCTCTTCCTACAACTTCTCTTTAGCGATGACAATGCCCATGTGGTGCTCAAGTTCCTGGAGAATGATCACAGAGTGCGTGAGACGGTCTACGGGCACCAGTACAAGATCCGCGCCGAGTTCTCCAAGCCAAACGGTGAGAAGTCCCAGCCTTTAAGTTCTGTTTTGAAATTGGTACTTAACGCTTTGCTCTCGATTTGCCATACCAGATACCTATGGCCTGCGTGTGGGCAACTGCTTCGCTTTTGACAAGAAGAACAGGACCCAAAAGCTCACCGACGACAGCGGGTGAGTCACTCAATAATGCATATTCAATACTATCCATAAGATAAATAAAAAATTAAGTGTAATACTTATTGACAAAAGGCCTTAAAAAAGCTTTATATAGTGAAAAATAATTGTAATGTTAAAATTATTAAAATTATCGATTTAAATGAGACTCAAACAATTTTTAAGTCCAGTTTTTAATATGGGCAGTAAAAAAAATATATATCTTTCCTTGTCCAAAAAATTCATGAAAGAAAATGATTTTATTTGATTTTTAAACGCTGTTTGAGATTTTTCAACTTTGCTGTGATTTTGAAAATTAAAATGCGCATATTATCGAAATTTTATCTGGCTGTGTATGAACAGGCAATATTTTAAATGTAAAAGACACTCTTCACTCATAATTTTTCTTTTCCCCAAAGCTGCCCCTATGATTCCAAGATCATCAGTCGTTTTGTGCCCACAGCAGATGGACGAGCTGCCGAAGCGGTGCTCTCCTCGATGTTCAAGTTCCCCGAGGGTAGGACATGGAATTTTCACCCAAGGCCTTCTCACTCTAACTTTCTCTTGATCACTTTCAGGATCCGAGGTGCATCTGCAGTGCGATGTGATCCAGTGCTACGGACGCTGTGTGGAGATCGATGACTGCAACGATGTGGCACTGGCTGCTTTTGGCAAGGGCACCAATGGACCGCGGAAATTCGGGCCAAATGAGGAGGGTTCCAGCCTGGCTGGAACCACGGTCTTTGTGCTCGATCCCGCCGAGGCTAGATGTGAGTTAAGCCGCAGAAATGTGTGACTTGTTTATGGTATTTAACTTATTGTATCTGGGCAGTAATCTCGGGCAACTGCGAGGATGGCATCCGACCCAGTTGGCTGCTGTGGCTCACCATCACCCTGGGCGTACTGTTCCTGATCATGCTGCTGATGAACATCTTCCTCTGCACGGCCATGAGCTGCAGTTGTGCTAATACAGAGGTAATAAATCTTGCAATAGTCGTTGCACAGAGAAAAATGAGAATTAGAAAAGGTTTCAGTTAAAAAAAAAGGTGCTTTATTTTTCGTCTTAGGAGTATCGACAACCTAAGATACATACCTTTGTTTGAAAATAAGTAATATAGTAGAATCATACAAAATTTAACAATTTAAAATGTTTAATCGTAATATTCTTATTAATTTTTTTGTTCTTTAAATACAAGAAATTAAACATTTTTCTGTGGCAACAATCAGTTACTACCCATAAATCTCACCCAATCGAATACTTGCAGATTATCGAGAAGGAGCCATCGATCATCGAGGAATACGACCCGTACCGCAGTTGGCACGGCAGTCAGTATGGATCACGTTACTCGCTGCACGGCAGGGACGCCCACAAGGGCTACACCAGCGGTGGTTCCACGATACACTCAAATAGGTCTGATAGATATTAAGCTGCCTCCACAAAAACAGAAAACAAAAACAAACAAACAGAAAACACACACAACACACCTCTATTCTACACTGTAAAATGCATCTGCCTGCTCTCGCAAATTATTTTCTGGTTGCTGTGGAGCCACACACACAATACAAAAACAAAACAAAAGCATGCCAACAAAGTATCTTGTATCTGCGTATCTCTATGTATCGTATATATCTCCTGTGCCCGCCCTGCTGGACTGCAAAACAAAAAAACCACCACACAACAGATCACAAAAACAGAAAATACCAAAACATAGAATGAAAAACCATTTCGTGCCTAGTACTGCAACTGTAATTAACCGATAGTAATTTGCATTTGTCTACCGGTAATAACTAACTCTCTTTACCTATCTCAACGCCTCTCCAAAAAAAAGACAATCGGATAACTAACCGCCAATTTGATAGAGTTGCTAACTTTCCCTGACCCCCCACTTTCTGAAATTTCAAATGTATTGTATTAAATCTAAATCTAAACTTATCCAACGTACTTCGAAGGTCGATGCCAATCGATAATGATAACGATTATGCAATTGTGCATTCGCGTCCAGGCTCTAGACATTCCACGTTACACGGACAGCGCGCCCATCGGGGACCGCCCAGTAATATATGATCATGTATCAGATCCCAATCGATAGAACGAGACAATAAAGAACGCTAATTTTGTAAGCTAGCCTAAGTATTTCCCATCTCGAACTTGAGTCTCAAATGTACATAAGAGAAAATGCTCGCCCTGCAAGTTTTCCAAATTTCTCCAAAACTGATAAAAGAGACGATGCCGCTGTAAAATACTAAACTAAACGTACTAAAGTTCTCTTTGCCTAATTTTAATTTAACCACTTAACATAAGTCATTAGTCTGTCATAAGAGCGAACGAATGTGAATTAGTGAAATGTTTCAAGTGCTTGTAAAAATAAACGAAGGCAGGCCAACAAAATTAAATTAAAGTATAAAAACTACAGTATAGTCTAAATTGCTAAGAAACAAAAATTTGGCAAATGCGTTAAACGTACGAATTGTAATTAATTTAAAATGTAATCATTTAATTTAATAAAAACTAAAAATAAATATACGGTTTGTTTTATATTTGGCATAAAAAATCCCGATCTTGGCGGTTAAATTGTTTACTTTACTATTTAAAATATGAAACTCCTTATAATGGGTTTTTTATAAATAAAAGAAGGAATTTTTGGAAAATATAGAAAATTATACAAATAAAAAAATTGAGTTCGTATAATCAAATTACACAGAAACACAAGACGAACCTTTTGAAATTTCCACGATTCAATTGTACTTTTCCATAATAATTGCTTCTGTGTCCCAATGAATCTTATATTTCAGCTAAGAATTTCGCAGTATAGCTAAGAATGCGAAAATCCGAAATTTAGCGACATTTTTAATTACGTAGCCCATGTAATTGGAGTTACCTGATTTTAGTATGCTGACAAACCACTGCATAATAAAAAGTCCTCGGCTTGAATCATTATCGATTTTTTTGGAATAAGACGTCAAATTTGATATCTCTGATTTTACAAAATTTCGTCGGTCTGTTGCCGCAAGAAATAAAGGGCACCCATAAAACATGTATGCCTGAAAGTATGCTCTGTTTTTTTGAACGTTCATACACTTGTGAGGTTTAAGTGCAAATGTGTTGAGTTAGGCGCCCACATAAATATGTATATGGTAAATTTCCTTATATTACAGTTGAGTAAATAGATACAAATAATGATGAATGAATAAATTAATTTAATACTTATTTATAGATTTCATTATATGGCTTTCTCTTTCCTTTTGAAAAAACAACTGAATTCGAGCGGCCACCCCTTTTTCGCCCGAATCCCGCCCTGTGCTCGGCTTATCTGCCCACGGCTCTCTGGCAACCAGTTTCTCGCTCTGTTCGCTCCCTCTCCGCAATTTTCGCACTCGCTTTCAACACAGCTGTACGCTGAGTGCATGATTTTCGCACGCCAGTGGCGGTTTCTCAGTTTCACATTGGCGGTCGTTGAGCGCGGAAGTGGCCAAAAAAAAATAGTAGTAGAAAACCCAAATCGGGAAATCATAAGAACGCGATTTTTGTTGAATGGCCGCTATATGGGTGGCTGTAGCTGTGTCTGTGTGTCTTTGTGTTTGTGTAAGAAGTTCGGCGGCAACGACGACGTAAAATAGTGAAGCATAAAGGCCAAGTGAAGAAAATACTCGTACATAAAACTCAAAACAACAACAACGTGCCGGAGTCTCTTTGTGTTTGTGTTTGTTTTAGCCCTTAGGACTCCCCTTGCTGCTACCTGCGAATTTGTTAACTTTATTGTTGTTACCTTGCTTGCGTGCCGTGAGTCCAAGCAACAACAACATGTTTGAGTAAATGTAAGTGTAAGTGACCATGGCGCGATTTAATAACAGTGCACAACTGGGAATAACAACTAAAATCAGTTTCAAACGCGTGACGAGCGCATTTAAAATCGATTGCAGGTCCCGAAATTGGACAACGTCAAATAGTAAAAACAAATCAAATCCACAATGCCCTAAAGCCTTCTAGCTTATGTATATACTGTGGATATGATATATGTATCATTTAAGTGACTCATCCGTTTGCTTTTGCAATTGCAATCTCTACGCAAATTACTTTGGCGACCGAAAGAAAGCTATTAATAAACTCCACTGCAGATAACCCTATTGTCAAGCGAAAAAATCACAAATCAAACTGAAAAAAAGTAGTCATAAATTACTTTAACTATTACGCTCCGCAAATTTAATAACAAAGTTTAGTTGTTAAATATTAATACTAATACTAACTTCAGATTACCAAGTTTTTAAAGGAACCCGGCATATTTTGTAAGGTTTTGTAATGTTTTACCACCTAGTTTTCTGCTTCTTTCTAAACGACATGTCTGTAATGCCAAGAATTTTAATAAAATGCAGTGTGCTCTCAGCCGAAAATAATTTAAATTTAGCCACGCGCCTTTCTGGCCCACTAACAGCTCTCGAGAGTCGCCAGCCAAATTTTCGGCAAAAAAGTCATTAACCTCGGTCATTTGGATTCGATTGTTGTCGTCAAGTTTGAAACAGTGTAACGAATATTGAATATTATGCTAATGGAAAAGAGAATGGCGACAAGACTGTAAATATGACCGATTTAGGTATTTGTCTTTATAGGTCAACAATGTTGACGTTGAAAGTTTGCCCTGCAAATATTGCGTTCATAAACAAAATGCATTTTATAAAGGCTTGAGAAGAGGTCAGTTCTCGTGAAACCAACGCATCGATAAGTTTGCTCAATAAACAATCGTAAGCGACAACGGAAAAATCAGCAAAATGACACTGGGTTATATATCACTTAGAGTGGCACTTTGGTTGATATATATTCAAAAAGGGTTTGGCTTGGCGACTACCCTGTAATGAAGAGAGAGGAGGGATAAAGCGCAGCCTTAAATGCCATGATTCGAAAACAAATGAAAATAAATAATGATCCGCCCTTGTTGCTTTCGGCAAGAGCAAATTTATTTACTCCGATCCATTTATACAGTCGCGGACAAAACAGTAGTTACGAAGTTTTCGATTCCCTTAAACTTGTCCATCACATTTTAGTATATTTGCAATACACTAATTAAAGTCTTGCTAATAATATATAATTAATTTCTTTAAATTATAAAAGCTGAGAAAGTTTTATAATAAGAGCCTTTTAATGAAACATTTTCACTCTATTCCATTATTTTATAAAGTTTCCCCTTTATTTTATTTATTTAACACATACATACAACTATTGTTTTGTCTGCTTCTGTTTACTTGAACATTCGCATGCACGATAAATTAGCTTATTTGTTTTATACCTCCTATATATCCAGTCAAAAGTCTCATTCTTATCGCTTTTTGTCTTTGTTTACCCAACATTTGAAACGATCTCAGTCGTTTGCTGATTCAGGTCCAAGTGATTACAAGCGAGTGATAAATCAACAGACCTTAAGAAATTCTCATTTAAATTCTAGTAAAATAATCACAAAACGTAGTAAACCCTTAAAAAGCGATGTATCACCTTGGTTGTCTAATCAAATATAAACTAATAATCCCGAGCTACGTCACTATTTTTTTTTTATGAGTTTCAAAGCCATGCCTAAAATAAATCAATGTATACAAACATACACAGAACAAATTTGAATAATTTATTAAAGATTTTATTTTTAAAACAGTAGTTTTATGTAGAAATCAAACCAACATAAGCCAATTTAAATTTAAACTTGATGTTATAAAACTTACTTCTTATGCTTGTTAATTCTCTTTGCCAATTTTTCAATAGCTTTAAAAGTGCGTAGTAAATGGTGCTCAAAAAATAATATTTTTCTGTGTAAAAAACACGATTGTTTTTTAGTTCAGCATACCTAGCAAACCCCTTTAAAGTTAGCAGACCGATACATGATGTCATGTTCTCCCCACCAGAAAGGCCGGGATCACATGGCATCGGGCTTGGTAATATAATTTGAGCTCGGAGCCGAGTTTGTGGTGTGATTTCTGATCATTAGCTCACCGGCTCGCCGAAATTCTCGCATTTTTTGTCTCTCTTTTGTGGCGGAAATTCATCAGTGTACAAGGGAGATAAACAATACCCTATAAGAAGAAAAACCTTACTCAATGAGCTCATCTTGGCTTTATTACATAATGTACTTCTCCTTTACATTCACCGAAATAAAAAACAGTCACTAGATGGCAATCGATGTTTAACTTGGAGTTTGTTTGCTTGGTTAATTGGTATCTAATCGTTGGAGGCTGACCCCCAGCGACACCTCTCGAATCAAATGGAGACCGCCTAAACGCTTAAATGCTGACTTTGACATCGCCCACATACGCAAACTTGAGCGTTACTCAAATGAAAATACTTTTAGATACATATATATCTATATACACAAATATCTGAACATGCACCGAGGCTTTTGTGGCATCGACTATATAAATTGGTCTAATTAATATAATCTGTCCGGCGTTGTTGCATTTCTATTAAATGTTAAATGCATTTCAATTGTTTTCCGCGCTGCAGGTTTCCTTCAGTCATATCGTCGCATGTCTAATTGTGAAAAAAAATCGATTTCAGAATTTCAAATTGCATTATTGTACTGGTTGCCCTGTCAGCGATTCCTGGTACTGTTATGAGTAATTGCCCTTACTTCCCCGGATATTACATAACTTTGTTCTCTATAAAAAATTCTGTTCTATCTTGCTTTATTTCAGGTATAGAGTGATACTTTCATTTTCGACATACAGCGATGTGCGAGACGTGATAAGACCGTCGAAATCACAATCTCAGCTATCAAATAGCACTGCAAATAAACTTAATTGGTGTTGAAATAAAAAAAAGGAGAGAAAAATGACAATTTCGTACACAAGTGAAGTGGCCACTTGTCGCGGTTTTGGATGTTTTCTCAAATTGCTGCTCAGGTGAGTGACGCTAAAATCTTATATACTTAACACTATATTAGTCGATGGATAGATATAGAAGTACAGTGCGAAATTGTTAGCTCGTTTGCTAACTATAGAGCATCGACACACTCCGGACAATTGGTTGGGATAACCCGCCTAGAAACACAATTGCAGCGAGTGCAAATTACAGAACTTTTCCACTTTTCTTCGTATGGAAAACTGCAATTGCCACGACTATTTCCGCAACCTCCCTCTCCACACAAAAATGTGTAATCTAGACTCGTGTTCTCATAACTCTGACATCTGTCATGGCTTGTTGTCTGAATTATAATTTAATAATGTGGAGCCACGCGG